GCACTTAAACATAAAAAATAATAACCTAAAAAAAAGCTCATAATTGACAATATTTGTACTTCAGACGACTTTTAGTCATGTTAACAAACATACCGCTCTTTACTGCCCTATTCTACTCATCACAAAAAAAAAATAATCAAACTGCTACAATATCTTTTATAATATATAAAATATTAATAAAAAGATTGACAGTGCTGAAAATGTGTTAATAATGTCATTCCAGTTCAGACTTTGTACTTATTACAATACTTTCAATAGGCATTAATGCCAACGACGATGACATCTTTTCAAATTTCATTAGATAGTTCTCAGGTAGTTATTACTCTCTCTAAAACTGAGGGAGATCTCTCCTCGCTAGCGTTAGAAAATGGTTAAACGATATGCCAACTTCATTGAGATAAACGAGAACAAATGAGGCGAAAGTAAAAGTCAACAATTTTAAATTAAAATAAACTATTAAAAGTTTTTGTTGCATGGTTTGGGAACAAATATTGATATGGTTTATTTAAGAGGACTCTTTGTTGTGTGAAAACAGAGTTTGGCCGAATGAGTACTGTAGAGGTTGTGACAGTGCTAAATTCACCAAATTGTCATAGATAAGTAGAGAAGAATATTATATAAGTATGGCAATTTTTTGGTTGATGAATTGATCACTAAATTTGTAATGATTTTTTTTTAATAAACTATTCAAAATTAGTGGATTGAATTGTTAAAAATATAAAAAAGTTCAAGCACAGATAAAATTCTGTTCTACAATTCCATAAGACTTTGGTTTTGATTCGCGCAAAATGATTTTAATGAAGAAAAATTGTAATTTTATTTTATGGAAATGACTGGCATAGGCTGGATAGGCTGACAAACAAGAAATAAGTCCTATTATTATACGAAATGAAAAATTTGATTTGATAAAATTACAAAAATGACCATAGTACCCTTTTAATTGCATGACCACACGGTTCATCCCTTTGTTAATCCTGCTACATCAATATACACAGTCGGAGATGATGCTCTCCCCAGTGAAACCGTGATTGTCTTTTAGTCGACAGCTGAGTCTCAGAATAATATTTATACCTAATTGTATGTTGCGGTGTCCATAGCTCCAACTGATGTGGGTAGCTCTTAATATCCAGTTACACAAGTTACAATTTATCACAGTTCAACGCAACTAAAAAACAAACCGCCGTTCAGGAAAATGATCGGTCGTTTTGTGTTGGAACAATACTTTATAATATTAACAGTATGTATCACGACTATCCGACAGATTTGTGTTGTATAATTTATAACTGTGAAATGATGTTTAATGAGTTCACACTACACATTAGAGTCGAATTTATTGCACTTATATGTGGTCGATTTAAAATGTTTAGAAATTTCGAACCGAACACTCATATTTTTTTTTAGATAAACAGTGTTCGGAAATTCAATGCAGCACACCGTGGAGCCAAGTATAAAATAATTTTTGTTTCATCATTATTTGATTGCAAATTAATTTTGTCTCATTGAAAATTGAAAACAACAAACATTCTAGTTTCTACCATTGCTTATAAAGCACAAATCATGGTACAACATTTTTAGTCCGATCATAAGGGCAAAACAATTGGGGGTTATTATAAGGGTAACTATTTATTATTTAGTATTTAAATCTTGATTATACATAATTAACGTATTATTAACGTTTGGTTTATTTTTATAAGTAGTATTTTAATATAACATAATATGGATTCAGTGCAAGACATTTTAAAATTAAAATTTTAATTTCTTTCATTTGAAAAAAAGGTAGCAATGAAAAATTTGGGTAAATCTTTACCAAATTTACCCAATTTAATTAATAATTCAAAACAATTAATACACTCGTCGTTTTAATACTGGTCTTTATCAAAAGTTCTTATGGCTTTGTGGGTGTGAAACTACTGTATCGTAATTTTGTTTCCTTTGTGTTTGTTTCGGAGGTGATATATCTTGGAGTTAGTCTGGTGTAAAAGATTTATTACATCTTTTAGTCAAAATAAATAAACATGAAAATTCGTTTTAACATCTACTGAATGAGGCAAAATTCAAAGTGTTGGGAACTATTGACATAAGAAGTCAAATTGATAGTGGTTATAAATTATAGATTAAACGTCATGATGAGCAAGTTTCTAAAAACCGAGATATTTAAAAAAAAATTAATTTTGGAAAATGTTGTGGAAATCACGAATTACATTTACGTGGACACGATGAAAAAATGTCATTTAAAAATCAAGTCGTTTTTTGTGGTTTGATTATATATATTTCATATTTTTATGTATTTTCATGAAATAAATAGATTATTTATCATTTTGGGTTATGGTTTACAAATTTTTTAACGCACTGCTGTGCAAATCAACACGAGTCGCCACTGTTAGAAGAAAATCGCAAACACGCCAGTGTTTTGTCTCTTATCGCCTGTTATCAGAAATTATTGTTTTCCTCTTATCATATGTCCAAGGATCATCCGTTTCCTCTTATCCCATCCCGTTGCCGCCCCTCCCTTCCTCATGCGATATCACCGGGTTTCACAGGTTGATAATGTAAATCTCGAAATGGCAACACTCATTTTCAATGTCCGGACTTAAATAATATGTTTTAATATTGTTTTTTTAAATTTTTTATTGCATTGTCTTGTTGGTATGTGTAGCGGGGTGTCTTTTGGCGGCCAAAAGAGAAACATGGACGAGATAGACCGGACAGCTTTTAACGCTTTCATCAAGAAGAAGAACTTTGACGAAATCGACCGCAGCGGAGGCTTTGACCGTTTTGTCAAGAAGAACTTCGACGAGATCGACAGGAGTGCGTTTAGCAGTTTTGTAAAACGTCCCAACGAAGTGCCGGCCACCAACTTGGAGTAAACAAGCAAGCACACACACATCCGTAAATGTCCCAATGACTTAATCAAACAATATATTTTCGTCCGTACAATAATAATAATAATAGTAGTAGTGCCTACCATAATATTAATAATAAAAATCTTATTCTTCGCTATCCGGTAACCATTTTTTTTTTGTTGAAAAATTGAATTCGAGTCGCAGTTCTACAATTATAAATTTGTATTCGTGTACTTCTTTTTCTTTCCCAAAACGGGTTTATCGCCATTAAATTTTTAAAGCGCATCAAAGAAAACAAAAACCGTTAGTATAACTCTTAGAACGTATATATATATATATATATATATAAATAATATTTTCAATAATTATTAGTGTTAACAATATAATAATATACTATTATCTATACTATTACCCCCCTTTTCCAATTTCTAAAGATCTGTGTGTGATCTTTATAATAATACTATATAAACTATTGATAACACGATATATAATATATATATATATATATATTTATTTATCTATTTAACTTTTTAACCGTATAGTAGTATTGTACACTATATATATACATAAAACTCTAACGATTGTACTATTTGAATCTCAAACTCTGGTTTATTAAACGTTGTATTAGTTCCTAAACGGGTTTTTTTATATTATGAATGAATGTTTTTCCCTTTTTAAATTACTATGCTTACATAGTGTGGTTTCATCGAGTACTCGACGAAAATATTGGATAAAATATTATACATAATATATACTATTTAACGATTATTTTACCAGTGTTAAAGTAAGGTGAACGTTTTTTTCGGGTCGATATTATGGTAACGAAATAAGATTTCGTATATATATATATATATATATATATATATATATATATAATATTCATATAAATATTCAAGGCTAGACGAAAATTGAATTCTGGAAAATTTCGACGACCTGACAGACTGTTGAGGAATTCTTAATAATCGCAAATCGATTTCGAAGTATAATATATATATATGTAAATTACCATATTATATCATCGTTGCATGCCTTATGTCAGGTAAGTCGAAGAGCTGTATTCGTCAATTATAGAAAAATCGTTAAACACACAAAAAGTCTCACTAAGGAATTGTATTCTAAAAAGTAAGATCGGTAAAGTTAACTTTAACTGTAAACACACCGGTCGGCTAACAAGATTACTAGATAACATTCCAACAGCTAATCGTCGCATTGTGTTCACCATTGAAGCACACATCCGGGTAAGTATATAGTTATTGTGTACACTAATTCTATCGGGCTGCAAAAAAGTAATATACTTTATATAATGGACTATTGTAAAATTAATTTAAAAAAATAGGTAATATTCACAATTGTTCTATTTAAACTAGAGGTCCCTATTACACTTTATTCGATTACACGTGAAAACCGTGTAATTAACATACACGTGTAATTATAAATACACGTGTATTCAAAAAAAATTATTTTTGTTATTATTTTAGTTTCACGTTTAATATCACGTCTATTTAATTATACGAACTCAAACACAAGTTTAATTGTGTAAACACGTTAACTCAAACTAAAATTTTTGACAAAATAATTTTTTAAAATACACGTGTATTTAATACACGTGTATATACACGTGTATGTTAACTACACAGGGTTCGTGTACACGTGTATTTAAATTACAAGTTTAAAATCACAGGCACTAATTTATACGGATGGAGAATAAATTATATTCATACTTACCCATCCCAAACGCTATTATAATGTGTACACCATATTACATAATCCTATTATATTAGTATAAAACGTTATGCCCGTTAATTGTGTCCATAGAAATGATACATGCGATTTGTATTTAATAGTATAAAAACGAAATAACGCAAGTAGAAGAATCAGTTTTAGCGAAAAGCTTTCGTTAATGAGGCAAAACTTTATTGCAGGGCAAAACGTGTACAGTTGAAATATAACCGAATTACATTTACAAGTACAAGCTTGACTGAGGAAATTCTCACTAGAAATTTCGTAGGCCATTTAACGTGGTAATCGGATTTTGAGTACAAGTGTAATTTAATATAACGCTTTTTTTTCTTCCCCAACACGTGCATTTGCTATTTACGTACACACATCAACAAAAATGTTGTGTTTTATGTCGAGTACAAAATGTAAAACAATATATGCATGGAAATTATTATTGTTATAATATTTAATTATATTGTAATAAAAACAACGGACGCGGTAACTTGGGGTCATAAATAATTATACTATGAGAACATTATTGTTTCTCTCTATTTTCCTAATATCACAATTGCTGTCTTTTCACTAGTTCGTAGTAAAATCCTTTGAGTTCCTGCAATTCTTGGTGGGTGCCGAGTTCGACGATTTTTCCTTGCTTCACCACGGCTATTAAGTCGGCCGATTTAATAGTGGACAGTCGATGAGCAATCGTTATGCACGTCCTACCTCTCCTGGCGTCGTCCAAAGCTTCTTGGACCACCTGAAATGTAAGTGCACGATGTTAATGTATAAATAAAAAAAAAAAAGTTCCAAACCGGATTACAAAATGTGAAACTTTTCCCTATGAGGTATTTTTTTTTTTTTTATGATTAATTTCACTATCATTATAAAAACCAAACTTAAGTATAAAATACACATAATCGCAGCTAATTTACTCTTATACCACTATGCCATCTCCACTTCATCCACACTCTTTACTATACCATACTCCTTCTGTTCCAATCTCTTCACTCATCTTCCTTCCCCCTCTCCTTCCCTTGTTTTTTGTGTCATAAGAGCGCAATGCAAATTTTCGACAGCCATCAGACATATCCCGTCAAGAAATAGATAATATATATATACCTTTTCTAATTCCTAACATCTGGTCGTAGTTTACCAATCGAATGGCCTACCTTTTCGCTTTCGGTGTCTAAGGCCGAAGTAGCTTCGTCCAATAAGAGTATTTTTGGATTTCTTATCAGCGCTCTGGCAATGGCGATCCTCTGTTTTTGACCTCCGGACAATTGTGAGCCTCTTTCGCCCGCTTCGGTATCGTAACCCTAATGACGACGGTGACACGTAAATAAAATCCTATTACCGTCTTCGATGCAATATTATAATAATGATAAATATATTTACTTTAGGTAAGCTCATTATGAAATCGTGGGCGTTTGCTTTTTTGGCGGCTTCGACAATCTTATCGAACGGCACAGACTTGACGTTACTCGAGTTAGTCCCGCAACTTATATTGTCTTTGATCGAACAATCGAACAGAATAGGTTCCTGGGTGACGAGCCCTACGCTCTGCCGCAAATGATTCAGATTGAACCGTCTGATATCGCAGTCGTCTACCTCCTGAACGCAAAGCAAAATCACACGGGGTTATCATCGTTTAATGTCTTTGGGGTTAACACTGCAAACACTTATACACAATCACACTCACGATGAGCCCGCTGGTCGGATCGTAAAACCTCTCGAGCAAGGCGATCACGGTGCTTTTGCCACAACCCGATTCGCCGACCAAGGCCAGTGTCTTTCCCGGGCTGACGGAAAAATCCATACCGTTCAGTATCTTGTTGTTTTTCCTCGTGGGATACGAAAAATGAACACCCCTGAACACGACTTTGCCGATGATTTCCTGCAATCAACAACATTGTCGGTGTCCGCGTGTAAGACATAATACAAATTCAGTGTTTCCCTCGACATGAACATGTCTTACGGTCAGCTGATTTCCACCGAGCCGTAAGACATATTCATGTGGACAAGTTCAGCGATAACGTTGTTAACGTACAGGCTTCAGACCGCCGGTAGACTGACTGTCGATTTCCGAAGGGGTTTCAATCAGCTGAAACATGAGCGAGGCCGACAGCTTGGCTTTTGCATAGTCTTGCAGGAAAGCCATCGTGTGTCCGATTGAATGGGCGGAGAACGTCAACGCGAAAAACACTCTAAACCGAAATGCGGGTGTTGGAGTTAACGACATATTTGCTGTTTATCCGCTGCATACAACAGAGAAAGATAGATTTTTTTCAACTCTAGTCTCCACCAACCTGTACACCGAAGTGGGAGTCATCTCCTTATTGAGAACCAAGTAAGATCCGTACTTGAAAGCTACGGCGTACAACATATACGTGATCGATTGTGACAGGGCGAACAGCAAAGCATACGAATAGACTTGTTTTTTCGCTTCTCTAAATACAAACAAAATATATATAATACATATCTGAATATTTCGCGGTCGCGGTAGATTGGTACTTGTTCGGAACTTTGAGACTTTTTTGGTAAAGATTTGCAAATATTTTCTCTTTTCCCAACGACTGTACGGTTCGCACGTTTTGCACGCACTCCGATGCTATCTAAAATTGTCAAAAAAAAAAAAAAAACTTTTAAACCTGTCGCCTTTTTTTGTGTCACGTTTTACAGTAAATGGTGGCTCGTCGATAATTTATAAAAAAAAAAAACTGTGAGCATATTCTGTCTTTTATTCGAATATTAATTTGTTTAATGTCATAAATACAATTTCATTTAAATAATGCCAAAAAAACTTTATTATATTTTATCAGTTTTAGTATTCCATAAAAAAATATCTAGAACTATACTGGCTAATGCAATGATAAAACTTTTTAGATAACTAAAAGAAGAGTTCATATAAAACCACCAGAGAATAAAGGTTAATTGATCGGAAAGGAAGATGTTTTCTTAATAAGTGATGGTTTAATGGATAATGGGAGAACGTCTGCTAAGACATGATCAGCCAATAAAAGACGATTTATTGTTAAAGCAAGAAATTGATGAGAGAAAAAATATAAAAGAGCGAAGTATATGTCGTATGATGCATTTTTTGTCTTTTTTTATTTTTTGTGAGGGGGTTTATAGCTAAATTATTACTACGTATATAACTCAATTTTTATTTTCTTGCGAATTTTTAAAAAAATAAAATTCTTTAGGCTCAATTTTTGTCCATATTTGTTGAGTATTTATACATATAAAGTCAGTTGGTACATTAATCTGAGAACACAAACACATTTGTACGTTGGGTCTAAAAAGGCCAATCTTTATTATTATAACTTTTGGCACTTGAGCTTTAGCGTTTTTCTAAACAGCTCTGAGAACTGTGTTAGATTTAGTAAAAAAATGTTCAAAGTATTCAGTATTTGGCTTAATATTTAATGTTGAAAAATTACATTTTTATGCTAGAAAATAATAAGTAAAACATCCTTTCATCCCCAACTGGTGAGAACGGCCATATTTTTCCAAATATTGGCATTAGCCTATTTTGTACCCAAGCCACAGAGATGGGGTGTATCCGACAGATTTTCCTTAGTAAAATCGATGACATAGTGTACAAGAAGTGTCATCTTCTGTGGTATTGATTATGTATAGCGATAGATTGCTAATATTGTGTACCTACACATTTTTGAAGCTAGAGACATCCGACTTTATTAAATACATGTATCGATATTGCAATATACATTTTCAAATACCGTTCTTGTAAATCCCTTCAGTTTTTTTGCACACTTTTAGGCTCGGAATGCCTCAGCTGATTTTCTGATCACAGCTTTCAACTTAGACATTCGCACCCTCTCTAAACCCCAACTCATTCACATTTCCATCACACCTAATCACTGTCCCATCCCTATCCACGAGGGGAGGAATGTCCTTATGACACGTGTGCACTACGTCATCGAAATCGACTAGGGCAAGTCTGTCGGATACTCCCTGATGTATAACTTTAAGACGATATTACTCTGCCGGCCTCGTCCATAAATTTGGCGTCTCTCCGTTGATGTTTTCGTTGGATGATTTGCTGTTGATACGCGGCGCCGATGACCAGAGGAACCGACAGCCCCAACACTATGGCGAGCTTCCATCCGAAAACCAACGCTATCGTGATGGCCGACACCAGGGTGACGATGGCCGCCATCACTTGACCGGCTCTCATCCCCCCTGCCTGCAAAAAAAAAAACGACAATATACTTCCGGAATAGAAACCACCCATCTGGCGGCGATTATATTATAAACTCTAGTGTATATAAATGATTTTTACTACTAACAGCTTTCACTACCGGAGCGTCCCTGGCCAATGTCGTTATGAGATTACCTGGAGACGAGTCTTTATAATCGAACCATCCGACCGCCTGTCGCAGGATATTGACAAACGCCATGGTCCGCATTCGCATCATCAGCTGTTCCGCGGCATAGGTCAAGCACAAAGTCTACAAAAACAGACACAATAAGGTATACTTAAAACAAAAAACAAAAATCGGTTTTTACGCCATTCGAGTCGACGTACTTGGCACAGCATGGCCAAGCCTGACGTCACTCCAATCAGGACGAACATGAATGACCAAAATCTGGCTTCCCTTTCCAGCGGTTCGCCGGTCAGCTTCAACGACTGCAACACAACAAAGGCGAATCGATTAAACAACAACGAAAAAATGTGTACATACCTGTATAGTATAATATTATTATTATGGAATTTGCTTACTTCGAACACTTGGCCGTAGAAGTACGCGTAAATGGGCACCAGACATCCGTTGACTATACAAGCGAGGCTTCCGAACAGCAGGGCGGCCCATTCGGGTGAATTGTATTTGATTAGTTTCCACATGGTGTATTTCGATTTACTCTGATCAAAATTACAGTTTTGAAAATTAGTTTTTTTTTATCAATCGAAAACACGCTAATACAATGTAATTTTTTTTTTTGTAATGGCGCCAAGCGAGAATTAGTATTTTTTACTATATTATTGTAAAAATAATACACAATGCCACAGTAACAAAGCGGACAGAAACGATTATTGCCGTTATATTATAATATTATGAGTTTACCATGTTGTGAGACGGTTGATGGTTTACAATGGTATTACAATTATTATTTTTAAGCATTTCCACTTGTTCGGCGGGTCTCGACTTGAAAAAAAAAATATTTCCCATATTTTGCGTTGTAATGATTTTAGGTTAGTAGGTGTAATGATAATGTAGTAACTGAAAATATGACCAATATGTTTTTTTTATAAGTATCCAAAAAAAAGCGCTGCACTCACATCATCGTCATCGGTGTCGTTATCCGTATCGTCCGGTTTGGCTTTGTCGTCGATTTCGTATTGTCCGTTATCCTGATCGGCTTCACTTAATAACCTAAGAAGACAATGGTTTATTATTTCATTCGATAATATTATGGTTTTTTTTTGTTAATTCACAAAAACTATTTTATGAATGCCTGTTTCTAAAACAAAATAATAGTATCTATTGTAGTATCGTTTGTATAGTATCTAAACCAAAAGAACAAACTAAACACAAAACGAATTCTATTTACTTAAAAATATAAGGAATTGTCGGTGTTAAGCCCCTATACTTTCTTTAAGCATACCTACATGAATTTACAACGAATAATGAACAGAGTGCAATACTTTGGTGACTATCGTTTGCGGATTGTGTGGTTTTTGAGGATAACAGCACAAACGCGTTGACAAAATTATATTAGAGCGAAATAAGAATAAAACAAAATAAAATCATTCCTTACTTGGTTGACTCTTCCCCTCGGTCTTCTTTTTGTTCTTTGATCTGCGCCATCACTAAACTATAATATAAACCTTGTTTGCTCATGAGGTCATCGTGAGTTCCGGATTCGATCACACGTCCTTCCTAAAATTGAAAACAAAAACACCACAGTTAAAAACAGAAATCGCCGTTTAGCGCAGAAGCACACACCTTCATCGCGTGTATAACGTTTGCATTTCTGATGGTCGACAACCTGTGAGCCACTATAATAGTCGTCCTCCCTTTCATGATGCGATCCAGCGCCTCTTGAACCAGACCCTCGCTCTGTGAATCTAAAGCTGACGTGGCCTCGTCCAACAAAAGTATTTTGGGATCTCTGACCAAAGCCCTAGCGATTGCAATGCGTTGTTTTTGGCCCCCAGAAAGTTGACAACCTCTGTCGCCGACGTACGTATTGTAACCCTTAAACAAAATTTGAAACACCAATAACATTTGAAACCGTCGATATTTCTCATATAGCCATATAATAGATAGTATATCTATGTACGTTTGGTAGATCTTTGATGAAGTCGTGGGCGCTTGCTTGGATGGCGGCGTCTACTAGTTCTTGATCAGTGATATCTCCACGTCCGTATCGAATGTTGTCGGCAATCGATACACCGAATAGTATTGGCTCCTGAGAGACGACCCCTATTTGATCCCGCAGCCATTGTATGTTCAAGTCGCCCAGTTCAACAGAATCCAAATAAATCTATAACAACAAAATGCACTCGATAGTTGCTTCGATAACCAGAGTATTCCTCGTTCAGATCAATTTACCTGATGGGCATGCAAATAGTTTTACTCAATAGACATTTACCTTTCCTGATTCTGGATCATAAAACCGCAAAAGCAGACCGATGATGGTACTCTTCCCCGCGCCACTTGAGCCTACCAAGGCTATTGTTTGACCCGGTTCAATAGCTATATTTAAATTGTCAAGAATCTGAAATAATTAAATGCTCGTTAAATTTGATAATGTCACGCCATTTTAATCATTAGGTCGATAAAAACCACATTAAATATCTGATTTAAAGTGTGTTAATTGTTTAAGTATTTTACATAATTCTTAAATTATTTATTTCTAAGGTTATGTGATGGAATTCGGAAATCCGGATTTTCATAAAAACAGTACAATTAATAAATATGTATTCGTAAGTAAAATGTTTTCGATGAAAATTTAAAAATAAAACACAATACCGAAAAGATGAATTGCTTTCGGATTTGTTGAATTACTCAAAGTTAAGCGTATTTTTTTTGTTGACATTTTTATCAAAGCATTTTACTTAAATACATTGTAAAATATATTTAGTATTCATACGATTTTTTAAGTGGCTTAAATAGCGGCTTTGTGAAAATCCATTCATAATCCTAGTGTCAGCGTTGTAGGAGCAATTATTTTTTTCTTTTCAGTTAACACAATATTCTTTGTAGTGTGTAATTACTTTAATTTCTGGTCTGGACGGATATCTGAAACACACGTTTTTTACTTCTATTTTGCCCACGACCAATTCTGGTCTTAACCCACTGTTCGCGTACGAATCGATTTTGGGCACTCGGTCGATGATGTTGTAAAGGTTGGAGGCCACGCCAACGGCTGTGGTGACAGAGTTCAAATACGGCAAAGCCGCTCCGATGGAAAACGCCCCGGCCATTACGCTGAAGAAAACCTGAAAAGCATTTAATTATTATTTTTTTTTCCTACAAAGTATGAACATATTCCATACGGTGAAGACGGTGCCCGGCGTGGCTTCTCCTTTTTGTATCAAGTGAGCCCCGTAGTAGAACGCCAGACCGTAACCGCAATACATCAGCATAAACAACAGGCCAAGGCATATGGAGAATTCCAAGTACCTCCGGGAAGCGATAAGCCGTCCTTCTTTGAGCGCCGCTGCGTACCTTAGGAAAAATTGTACTCATTTTGAAAATATTACTATTATTATTAAAAAAAAAAACCAAGAAAAGGATATCCTACCTATCGATCTGTTTCTTCTCCAATCCGAACGCCGCCACGGTCTTTATGGCCGTAAAAACTTCTTCGGCGATTCCCCCGGCCAGGGAATACTTTATCTGTTCCCTGGCGACGGCTTTTGACGAGTTCTAAAGAAAAATAAACCAGCTGAACATTAAACAACTCTTGCCAACCGACAATTAGCCACATTATTATGCATAATTAATGCATGAGTGCAAGTTTAAGTAAGTTCGATCGATAAAAACAAAGATAGCCATAACTTTTATAATTATCGAGCTAGACAGATAAACTGTGCAAACTTCAAATGGTTCTACGTTAACTTAAACCCCGTCAAAATGAAACCCAATCACTCAATCAGCACCAAATTTTAATCAGTTCATCCAGACAACCAAACAGACAACACGCGGACAGAATCTACGGCCAAGCTGTTCTACTTTTCGATTACAATACACATGGTGTTAGTCCCATGGTAAAAACAACAACAGTGTGAACCTCTATTGGGAAGGCAAAATTAATACATTTCCAATTCAATGGGCCACGCGTGGTCGGTTTTAGACTCCCGTTTACAGTGTATAACTGTATAAGTACAACATGCACAAATAACGTGGCTCCCGATGATAAAGACAGTAGTGTGCTAACTATACAAAGGAAGGCCGTGATGCCTACGATGAACGGTCCGATGAGAAGTAGAATCGACGTGAGTTTAACGCTGACAATACATCCGATCGTCAGCCCCGAGACGAATGTAGAAACGTATTGGAAGAGCATGCTGAATTTGCTGCTGATGCCCTCGCGGATTCGTTCCAAATCACTGAAAACCAAACGCAACGGCTGTGGTAGTTATATGGCAAGCAAAGGATTTAGTAGTAGTAGCAAAGGTCGAGGGGGTTTATACTCGAATAATTTGGACGTGATGTCGTTGTTCTGGTTGACGTCGAACCACGTGATGTCTTGTCGGATGATTTGTTTGAAGAACACATTGCGCAATCTGTACACTTGTCGCTCGCACGACATCTCCCAACACCAAGTCTAAATAGCATAAAAAAAAACATATTTCAATATTACATAATATGCGTAGGTTTTGACCTATCCGTCCAATCTTACTTGTATGTAGGCGGCAATTAAAACGGCTATGCCGATGTATAAATAGTACAACGAATATGTTGTCAAGTATATGTCGAAATCTTCCGGAGACATGCGATCGGAAGTGGGATACGACGTCCTGTTTGCAAAAAAAATAAAAGCCCGTACAAGCGGGCTTGTTAATTATGTATGGAATTGTTACAACTACTAAGAGCGATAAACGCTAAGGGAAAGGGTTATTTGTTTGGTTTATCTGTAACACTATGTTTACAAAGAATATTCCCTACAATTGTGGAACTAATTAGACTATTAGACTCTACCTAAAAGTAACTAGAATTGCCGACAAGGTAATAAAGTAACTTACCCGTTATACGTTGCGTTCCGGTCATTAGTAGGCAGAGTCGTCACGTCCAATGGATTGTCCTGAAACACAATTAATATTCGTGTAATCGCTATGGCACGGTATGTGCACTTAATTTGGTGTAAATAGGGTTTGTCTAAGCTTTTAACTTGCTATCCGTTGTTGTGTACACTCTACATGGTGCAACAAAGAGAAGACAAAAAATTGGTCTCACAACGGCGGTAAATTAAATTTAAAAATCAGTGTACTTACCTCAGATGATTGTTGGATGAAGGTGTTTGTCATTTTACCGAAGAAGTAACCCAAAATTGGTAAACTGGCGCCGGTCGCCAAGGACATGACACTGCCAATGACCATCAAAATAATATCCCATCTGTCTGCATACCGAAACTATAACAAACCAGAACTGCTTCACGTCGAATATAGAGTCAGTTGCTTATCGATTAACTCCATATAAGCACGGTGAAAAAATCGTGACGAAAATCATCAAGAAAGAGACAAGAAGGGAAATATTATACCAAATTTCCGGGTACGTTGAATTTTATTTTTTTTTTGTTGAAAAAGGAACATTTTCCTTTTCAACAAAAACTCATCATTAATATATATGACTTTCACGCATCGTTCGATTTACATTTGTTTTAAAAGTTTTTGGACATTTGACAGCTTGTTACTGTTATCATCCTTTCTAGTTTTTATTTGGTATTTTGTAAGTCTAAAAATCTTCTTGGCGTTTTGCCTCCAAGAATCCCGATAACTAATTCAATGCCAGTAAACTATAAATAATTACAGCCAAAAACAATAAGAAGGGACCAAACCTTTCAAACGAACTTAACCAAAATGTCATCATTTTTTTTACACATATAAATGCTAAGTCAGTAAACAGTTAAAAGTTTTCACGACTATAATTTATAATACTTAAGTTAGGACAAAATTACTTAAGTTAAAAGTGTTAAATTTATTTTAGTTGGAAAAGCCGGCAAATTAAAAAGTGACACTAGTCAATTAAATTTGAACGCAATAATTCATCGTTTAACGTTTTGTTGTGAAAGAAAAACAATTAAAACAAATTTAAGATCCTAAATAAAATATTTACAATTGTTCCATTGTGTTAGTTAGTAACATTTGTTTTTTTTATATTTATTTTGAAAGGTGTGTATTATATTTTATCATAACTCTCCGATGTAAATAAAACAAACTATTCTATGAACCAAAAATCTTTGTTTTTTTTATAAATATATTATTTCAAATCAATATTTAACAAGTAAGCTTTGTAGGATTTAGGAGCTTCTTGATTTGCTCTACCAATAAGACTACAGAGCAAGATAATAACCGTATGTTACTCGCTACTAAGAAGTTAAGTAAAAACATGAAGAAGAAAAGTAGAAAAAAGAAATCACTCTGAAAAATGTAATGTTTTGCTTGTCTGTCGTTCGGATAAATAGTAGAAAAACTTAGCTAACCACTTGGAACAATATAGAAACTAAAAATAAAAATAAATTAGTTATTAAAATTCTTTATCATTTGGTATAAAAAAAAAGTATAACATAATAATGCATACTCTATACTGTACTACAGTATAAAATTAATTAAAACTTAGTAAAAATATTGTATTTTTAAAAATATAGTACCGCAAGCAATTATTTCAATTTTAGATGTAAAAAATTATGATTCTCTTTTCTTTTTAATATCAAAATTCAAACGATGTATGTAACTTATTTTAGCATTAACTTAAAGACAAAAACGTAAATGAGTTTATAACCTAATTAATAACTAATAAAAAAAACCGTAAATTCCAAACAAAATTATTTCAAGAGTAATTATTTTTCACAAATTAAAGTCTAAGCCAAGAAAAAATGAATTTATATTTAACATAAAACGCTGCTAAAAAAAGTAATATCCAAGTAATTTTAAATGTGAAATTTTGTATAAGTTAATATACATAACCCTGCTTGGCTGCGTTGTTGGGTATCTTGTTGTAGATAAATGCTATGGGCTGAAGTATGGTTTTAAAAAACTTAAAAAATCGTCTATTTTACTTTTTAAAACAAAAAATACATAAATCGTTGGACGGTTTATATTATTGCCAAGTGGCAAGATCAGTGGCCATGTCTAGATTTTACTGTCTAAGTGTGATCAAACAGGAATACTTACAATGCGCAAAAAGCTTAACTTGATTTTTCCCGCCTCGTGTTTACTAGCTGTTGTTTTGATGCTGAAATGTGCAAACGAACGGATTACAAACGATTCATATGAAAGTGTACACTTATGTGGTCTGGTAAAATAATCTTGTAAAATAGGTACTTGTTCAAATGCAGTGTGGAAGTCGATATTCCTGGAATGATGACTGATGGCATATCATTTTCTTCGGCGTAGTCTTGCTTCTGAAACTTACCCAAAGTCGACAGGATTAAAATTAATAATATACATATCACGGGTTACATACAACGGTTTAAACTTCACAGAAATACACAGGGATATTTTTTAATTGTCTAAAAAAAAAAAAAGAGGCCAGCACGGTGGGTTAGGCAATGTGTATTTAAGAGTTGTTAAATCTGAAAGTGACAGTGGTGTATTCACGGGGGGTGATCAGGGTGACATGTCACCCCCAGGGTGAAAAATCTAAAATAATATTTATTAATTTTGGATTTTGTTCCAAAACCTTGTTGTACAGTGTAATTTAACTAACTTTTTTCTCTTATTTGAGTTGAAAACCCGGTAAGATAGCTATTCAAATACAAATACAAATGCCGGATTGCAAGTTCATAGGTAATTGTACATCCGGACTTGTTAATTTGATCGTTTAGTAAATTCATTCCGGTTGTTCAGAAAGTTCATCAAGTAAACACAGCAATTAAAATGTAATCATTTAATGGATTACATAACGGCTTATACTCCATTTTCGAGCTCATTAGGTTCACGCAGTAGCTTGTGACAACGTGTCAACTTAAAGTATATGAATTCCAAGCCAAGTCAAATGCTTAGGTATATAATTATATAGTAACCAATTCCATTTTATAGTGTTATGAACATATTTCACGACTTGTTAGTCGTGAAATATGTTACACTATAATAATAATAATAATTTGTAATGCTTAAAAATTAAATTCCCCTAATTATTTATAATTTTAATTTAAAAAAAAATTACCACAATATTGTTGAAATTCTGATTTTAATAGTTTTCTCTTTACCATCTGTAGGCTTGTTTTAATATCGTCAAAAACAATAAGTCGACAATTTTTACTTTATTTATTATAACATAAAAAAATTATCAATCAAGTAAAAGTTTCGTTTGAAAGACATTGTTTAGAATTGTGGTAAATCCGTGTATTGTTTCAAAAGTGTTTATTATTTTGTTGCATGCTTTGAGTGCTAAACATATTCTTAATATTCATTTTTTATTACATACAATAAAGCAATTCCAAGTAAGCGTTTTACATGTAGAATGGGTAAAGATATGATATAATATATTATTATCTTTCTTATTTATAATTCCTAATCGTTTTGCGACCGTTATGATGTACCTACGTATGACGGTAAAACGTTATTTAAACGTAATAATTATTTATCATACGCCAACATACATTTACATTAATAGCGGTATTAAACATTTTTTTAAATTATTTTATTACACCTTGTAGCCGTTACAGTTGAAATTGAATTCCCATACCAGTATAGTCACTATAATCTGTTGATTTACATTGCATTTTAATCCTCTGTACTATATATTATAAATAGGAATGTAGACAAACAATCCGATAAGTTAAGATGTCAGCTGCGCGTTTCAAGTATAAACTCGTGTACGTCGTAAATTTCTCAGACAAATTTTTACTACATAATAGGATCCCACCTAAATATCAATCTCAAGTTCTTAACTTGATAAAATGCATACAAAACTCATTATGTTTCAGCTGCCTACGTTGTTGTCGTTGAAAAGCCTTTAAGTTCGATAGCGGTTTTACAAATTTGATATGACAAACAACAAATTTCAATTATAATGAAAAATTATCACTTAATAATTTAATTAAAAAAATTTCAGTGGAATTTGCTTACAATGTTACAATTATTAAATACTGCATTACAAACCAAACACTTTGTTTTGCCCATTTAAAAAAATTCTGATCTATAGAGTTAAAAAAAATAATAAAAATGCGTCATTATAAATACAAATACTTTCTCAGCTGCGTATCGAAGATAAAAAAAACACATTTTCAATTGTCTCACTTGACACTAATATGTCATTGACTAGTACCTAGCACATACTCGAGAGTACTGTGCTTAACTGTAATTAAAGCGAATTTGGGGTCGTGTCAAAGGCACGATACCTTCGTCATACATTCGTATTTCCAAACTGATAATATCATTGGGCTTTTTATGACTGAAGTCTGAACACAATATATAATACACGAGGGACCAGGTACATGTGCTTTGCCTACAACGAATTTCGATCAAGTTTTAGCTGGGATTTTAGTGTTTACATTGAAAGGATTCCGATTGTCACAACAACGACAGCGGTAACCGACAAAACGGAAAAGCCTTAAAAAAAAAGTCCAATCATTTTGTATTATATTGCCTTTTTTTAAATTAATTTATTATTCTCTACTATTTACAAGCGAATAAAATCCCAAAAAGAACCCGAGCACAACTTGTGGAGTACCTGTACCTGTTGTAGTTCACATGCAGATCTAACTTAACGTGACTTAACTTGTGTATAAAACACAGCCCGCTGGTAAGTTAGTAAGTAATAAAATATTTAAAGACCCCCTTTGCCATAAAAGGTTGTGTAAATTTTGAATAGTGTATAATTTTTGTGGTGAAGTAATATTTTATTATTTAACTGTGTCCAAACCGTTTATTTCAATTTTTGTTTCCTTAACTACAACTAAACAACATTATAGCATGTGATATAGTGTCATTAAGTTCTATATTGAGCATGTCTTTTGCAGATATATCAAATTAATTAATTTCACGTCTAAAAATTATATGGTCTTATTTATTTTTGGTTCAGTTTTACATTTCTGGTGTAATTTTGAATATAAAACTTTAACAATTAAAAAATTAAAAAAAAATTATTTTGCACCTTGCTATCACAGACATTGGTTTCAATATCATACCAAACCTAACCTTGCGAACTCAACTATTATACATATATTTTTATCGAATTTTCAAAGTTACCGATGTAGTAATGCTTATAAATTACAATCATGAATCGTTGCGGTTTTTTGTGGATCATTTTTTTTGTCCAAATTTCCAAAAAGCAATGCATAAGAGGTAAAAGAAATGTCGAGCATTAAATAGTTGTATATTACACATTATTACGTATTTATTATGATAAGTATATCACACTAAAATAGGTATAATTTCTACATAAATAACCTTTAACAAAAACGTACAAAGGTTAATGTTGTTTTGATAAAAAATAGACATATACGTTAAGTTAATGGATAGATATCAGTGCATTATTCGCAACAAAATTACCATATTTTTTAATTTTATTTTTTATGACCATAGGTAACATTTTTTCATTCGTTTTCGAAAGTTTACTACAACGAGTTTAGTTTTTCTTAATTGAATTGAATTAAATTCATATTTTATTCAGATATTTAAGTATTTATATTAAGTAACGGACGTTGTTTGAAATAGTATTTTTAATTGTTAACGGTCGTCATAGATATAATATTTTGCTATCAATCGATTGGCAAAAAACATTTAAAAAAAAAATGTTCTGAGGTTACAAAAAGGTTAGTGATAAACCCTGTGTAATTTTTGTCGTTGTGTTACTCTTATTAGGCTCTAAATTATACATAATTAAAAATACAACTATTGTGAATACCTCCTGCGATGAACGGTTGACACCGTTTGTCGAATCACTGTTCAGTTTGTAAGTCGCCGACGGCATAATAGCTGTTGTTGACGACAAATAATATACTTATTGAGAACACCTCCAGTGAAAAAAAATAATAGATAATCAATCCACTTAAATTAAAAATAATTACGGTTCAAAGACACCAAACCATAGCAAAGGAGAACAGCCCAATACACGTTGAGGTAATCTTAAACGGCGAGTAAGTGAACTTGAAAACGGTTTGTAAGCGTTCAAACGAAATACTGAACTCTGAAACAAAAAGTATAAATTGATGACATCGTGTATCAAGTACACCACTTTACTACTAATTTTTTATTTTTTTTATCTTATCTTATAGCTGTTTTATACCACTGGTAATGTAGCAGTAAAATAAGAGAGAGCGAGAGAGAGGGGTCTAACTAATGATATCATCCGTACAGTCATACTCCGAACGAGCAACTGTACTGAGGTTATATAAATGTTTTTATATATGTAATAGTTTAATTTTTTGCTCTAAACCATCTCGATAATGAATAATATTAAGATGTTGTAGTATAGTCATCAAGAATAGCTAGTAGTGTATTCTATTTTATTGCCATATTAACAGCTAATAACATACGTGCGTTATGTTATCATTTTATATCTAGTCAATACTGTACTAATATTAGGTATTATTAATTTATATATTTTGTAATCGCTGCGCAATAATTTACCAATAATCCTACTCATAATAATATCATCATTTTTATAAGAATAATAATATAAATACGGTATTATATTACTTATAAGCTCAGACTTTTATTTGTAAAAGCCACAAGTAAATAAATACAAAAGACTGACATTAATGATCATATTCGATTAGTTTTTTGTGGAATTGTTTTTACAGAAATAAAAATGTAACAGTAAAAAAAAATAATTACAAAAAACGGTTCTGAGGAAATAATATTATCGTATCTATATAGGCATAAAAAAAACTGTATCATTGTAAAACAATTAAAACGGCCTTCTCAGTTTCGCATCAAAGCAAATAATCTGTTCTGAATGGCATTCAATATTGTAAGATTTTTTCCCGAAAAAAAAAATTAAATAACAATATTTCTGTACTAAAAGTTATACATTTCTTAACATAAATCATAATGTAATTTTAAGTAACTTAAAAGTCGACGGGGGTTTGACGACGATTATATTTTTTTCGATGTAAGAAAACTAAAATTATTTATTTGAAATGGCTTAATTAAATGATTATAGCTAACCAAGTTGGTCCTTATGATATTATCACGTGGTGTTATCTGCATCTTACTGATCCAATAATTTTTTTTTTAATCAATATAATAGCAATCTAGGGAAAAAAATTACAAGTGGAATGTCATACGACTTTAAATATTTCCATATCATTATATTTTGTTTAAAGATAAATAAAGTCTCACTATACCTAATCGACTTGACGTAACACGGACATTCCTTCAGTTATTAATAATTATTTACAATAAATGTTTTCTCTTTTATTCTATTTGTATATTCTAATAAACAATGTGTTTTAATTGAATTCCCCCTCAAAGGTTTTGAATCTTAACAAACGAAAAAGGCAATCAAGGTATATAATTAATATTTTTGGCTTTTATTTATTTAAATTGATAGTGTTCTGTATATTAAGTTATTGACCGGCGTTAATGTTATTTAAATACATTTCTTATAGTACATACATATATATATATCTAATCTAACCGAGGTTGAGTCAAGTCAAGAGAATTCTAGTTGTCTTTAACTGCATAACTGCCAAGCTGTGGACTAAAAAAGAGTAATGTCGTTAAAAACGACTCAATATGTCGTTTATAAATGCTTAAAAAAAAAACAAAGAAAAATAATGGTACTACCACTACACCACTACTACCACTAAATAATGGTACTGACACTAAATATGAATATTTTGAAAATTATTTTTTCCCTATACTTGTAGGTACATATTTTACTATATATTTTTCAGTACGGTGAACATTTTTATCTAAATTCCATATAATATGTATAACAATTATGGATCTAAGTTTTTTTAAATGAGAACATATGTTTTTAATTCCATTAATATGTACCTAGACAAAAATGTTAAAGATTGGTGCTTAAATTTGTTAATTGTTTATCAATATATTCCTTTGCTATGATTTCGCCTTATAATTATTCTATGTTTTCGGTTTTTCAAATTCCAGTAGCCCATAAAATTCATATTTATGTTCGCATTGTCCGAACACCAACTACCAAACACAATGAAATGTTTTGAGATAATTATAGACAAGCGGGCCTTATTGCTACCTATTCAAACACAACGACGATGACGACAGTGTTATCGACGGGGTCAATATTATTATTTAATGGCTAGTCGTCTTACTGTTGTAAAACCCCAACGAATATTGATCTTTAATATTCAAATCTTTACAATGTCATAGCAAACAAAGAAATTAATGAAAATTAACAATTCAAATACTAACAATTTTTTGTCTATATATTAATGAAATAAAAAACATATGTTCAATAATCTATTAGTGGCCATTAGGCATGTTGTTTCAGATCTGTATAGTAGACCATCTTAAAGTTAAATTTTTTTTACCTTTGACGCCACATAATTGGCTTAATATAGACCTGGAAGCGATAAATCATAATATTATGTCGGATATTCCTATCTAAGTGATCTACTGTTGAAATAATAGGCGATACAATGGCGATTGTATTATTTTTTTCTTAAAAAAATTTACAACATAGCAAAGCACAATCAATAGTCAACGAAACGAAATAAAACACTGAAAGCACCGCTTATTCGGTCCAACCAATTGGACCAAAAGTTTACCTCTGCCATTGTAGAAACCGTCTGACCATCTGCTTGTGCTTGTATTAAACACAATACGAATGTACCCACCTAATGACACGTGAACGTCTTGTGCTTGCACACAGCACAAAACCCCAAGCAATTACAGTCAAACACATCGGCTTAGGTTGTACACGTTGTCAAAAAATACCACAGCAAGAATTTGCCACAAGGAGATCTGTCACTCGACGGCCGTATAAATCGTATATTATTTGAGTTTTGTAACTGAATTTACAGACAGCAAAAATAATGAAATATCAGCTTATCAGTTATCCTGGAATTATCCTTTTCTCCTTATGGCCATCCCTTCTCAACGGTCAACCCCCTCGTTCACACTGACTGGCTACTGAATAAGCACTATCAATATCCTATCCCCTCTCATTCCCTTAAATATTATTGTAGTATGACATATTGGGATTATTTGCGATATTTCTATATATTTTTGGCTTATGACCGAATAGTGTATATTTTTTTTATCAATAATCGACCCAACTAAACTACCATTTTTGCCTATTACAATGGCTACACCAGTTCAGTAAAGTGTATGTTGTATAATATGTGGTTGAATAGTTTATAGTTTATAATATTACATATTTTGTTGTATTGTTGTTGTTTGGTAACACAAATGCACGCCCGGAAATGAACGTGACAAGTCAAAGGTCACTTTAGAACTTTGACAAATTTCAAACTTTACACTGGCAAAACGACCACAATAAGATTATTAGTTCAAATTATTAATATTTGACACATATTATAGTTTTATTTTTTGCATTATTATCCTACTAATAATTCATAACTAATTAATGCTCGTCTAATGCCGTAAAATAAAAATGTAGATGATAAATCTGACAGATGATGCACAGCAAAAGGATCGAAATGATTTGTTTTTAGAAAATATCATAAACAAACGGAAAGCACATATACCCGCCAGACTGCGCCAACCGAAGCTATAACGCAGTGTAGCAATATAGGGATAAGTAATATTATGCGTTTTTTATATGATTTACAATAGTAAATATAATACATATTTCGATATAATATTATTGCACATCGTCTCTGCGGTGACTTCGTGTAATGGATTCATATTATGTTATAGTCTAGACGACATATTCGATCCGTTCAATTAGTTTTGAATTGTAACAACGACTGGTCTTTGGACTTTTTATTTCCCATAGCCATTATTTTATTGGTAATATTTCTAAATAACAACATATTCACCTAGTGTTGTATATTTTCATATTGGATAAGTAAAGGTATGACATGTTTGTTTAAAAAAAAAAAATGATAATCAATAGTATCAAATAAAAGCTTTCTTCTTTTTTTTTCTGCGAAAAACTTTTAGGTCACAAATATTCCGGCCAAATTATATGTATATTTTTCACGCCACTATAATTTTATTGGGAAACAAAAATAATATATTAATATATAAGTACACTGCGATATAGCTACTGTATACAGAAAACAAATAATAGGTCTGTGATACTTTAAGAGTAAACATAAGGTTAATGTGTGATGTATTTCGAAACAAGTTCATGCGACAATTTACTTTGATATTACAATAAATGCTCAAAATATACAATTAACCGTTCACGTTATAATAATATTATTTAAGAAAAAAAAAAATTCAAAATTCGACGATTAAAGTTAGTACCTACGTTTGTCGAATTGAACAGGTGATAATTTTGGAAAATATATATATTTATATATATATTTTTTTAGTTTCCAAGAGGGGTAAAAGTATTTACCAAGTGTTTAGTTTAATTAGCCAAAGTTAATAATTGAAATATTTTGTACTGGATCACATTATGTCGAATACAACATAAACCTATTGTGAATGACAATCAATGTCGTATGCTCTACAACACCTGTCACAGACCAAACTGCAGATTACATGTTGTGTAATACATGGAATTTTGAAACATCCACGTTGGCTACTACAAGCAAATACAGCAGTTACATTCGACATTCGTGAGAAATCTGATAGCTGTTTGTCAGAATTTTAATAAGTACATCCAATCATTTCCTATTAACTTTACTATATTTTGTCTAAACAAGTAGCAACAAAAAAAAACACTATTATAAAATTGACCTAGATACTAGCTGATATAGTTTGGATTTCATAGTTGTTTTAGCTATTAATTATGTTTTGGTAGGTTGGTTGAATGTAACCTTATTGGACAATATGTTATGCTTTGCAAGTTTGAAGCTGGGTGGATGAAGAGTGGGGGGGGGGGGTGGCTTAAACGTTCATATTTCTTTAAAGTTTCTAATATCAGAAATTATACTGGCATAATCACTATATAGGTTTACATCGTTTCAGTGTGAACAGAGTTGGAAAAACTTTAATTAAACAACGAATGGCAACTATAGCAAATCGAACGAGGTAAGTGCACAAACAGAGTAAAATAATTTTTTGAAAAAATATTTTTTGTATCCAAGCATCGACAGCAATAATTTAGCAACAACGCAATGGGGATTCTCAAAAACACCTTTCTCCTTTTGTTCTCCTTGTTTACACTGTTAAGCGTTTTACCGCGAATTTATGATTTTTAATATTACACTGCGAAAAACGTATTAATTATTAGTAATTGTCGAGTTTTGTTTTTTTCAAAAAACTCCTTTCCTGTTTTTTTTATTGGCTATTGTTATGTACATCAGAGGAGATAAAAACTTCACAAGACTTATACTACTCTAATGTATATATTATATTGTATTATTGTATTTATGGCGAAAGTGAGATTGTAAATAATATGTTTTTGTTTTCGTTGCGGTCAAGTGTGGTTGTTATGTAGTTATATTGATTGACTGTAATAACTGGCAACGCAAAAGTCTAATTTGATTAAAATTGTATTATATTAATTAAAATTTAGCAAGTCCAACGAACAATGTTATATTACAACGGCGGTAAATTACAATAGAAGCCCACTCTGTATATTGCAATTATAATTATTTTATGGTGCATTTTAATAGATGTGATATACTTTTATCGGCGCACTAATGTAGGTATTCACCAAAGACATTCACAAAACAAACACAACCTTTTTTATCAAAACAATAATAATACAAGCATACAACTGTTAGTGCGTAGGCTGTATAGTACTTATACAATGGTTTATGTATACCTATTTATGTCTTAATGCATGTCAGGTTTGTAATTGCGGTAATAAACTAACAAACATACCTACGTCAACAAATAATGAAATATTACATTGGGAAATAATCAATTTTGTCAGCATATCAAGTTTTGTTCGAATGTTTCATTTTATAATACTACTATAATAACGTATTAAATATTTTAGAGTATTACAAAACAAACCGTTTGTTATTTTAAATTTTTTAATTAGATATACCTGTTACTAAACATACTTTTAATAAGTTTGTACATTATTGATTTGTTCCATTCATCATATTTATATCATCATTAACTCTTATAACAATTGATGTAACATATAATCATAATACTATGTCGGATAGTGTTATTGAAAAATGTGTAAAGAGCAAATACAATTACTTGAGTTAAAAGTACAAGTTTAAACAAATGTTGAAACCAGGTGTTTTTTTTGTCTTTTGTTTGTACTGGTGGTAATCCATTTGCTGTTGTACATAATCTCTTCTAGCGTGGGCTCGGTTGTCTCATGATTTAAAAACTAAACCTAACTAACTAATCTTTATTTATCAAAAAACAGCTATCGATATTAAATTTAATCGGCACCGCTTGTTTCCCGCGTGATCTCTTTAACGGTAGTGGAAATTGAGTTTTTCTCATTAATGTAAGTAGATATATAATATTATAATGTGGTGATAATTTCTGAAAACTAATCAATTGGATTCCCTCCCTTTTTCGGAAACGGTCTTGTTCGAGCGCCACCTGCTAACAATAGTAAATTTATAATAATACACTATTGCAGTACACGGCCGACCTTTTTAGTAATATATGAACCCGCCGAGCTATTATAAATTCATTACACGTCCTTTTTATTAACTCGGTAGTTTTTTTTTTTGCAAAAATAAAAATAGCCGTCACAGCCGAAAATCGAGGTCGCTTGTGCTAGAAAACTTTCTCAAAAAAAGAGGAGGCAAATAATTATGCTTGGTGGTTTGCCATAATACCAATTTGGCCCGCACGGTTTTTTTTTATTAAATTTTAATCTCGATTGTAAACAAAAAATAATCTCCAAATGTTCGTTCGGTTGGCCTTTGAACGCCGACAAAATATTTTTTTTTAAATCCGGATATTCGACACAAACAAATTAATAAATAAAAAAACCAAAGGGAAAAATAATATTCTCGGGTTAAAATGTAAACAAAATCAATTAGTCTACCTAATCGATGTCATATTCAATTTGTGCTCTCTGTGCCTACGATGAATTTCAAGCTCACTTATATAATAGTATATAATATATATATATTTATTTATTTATTTATTTGTCCAGTACGCAGTTTTGTGTACCTACTGTCTATGATATTATATGTAGATATATTGCATATTGCCCACACTCAACAGTATGATAATACATTTTAATATTTAACTACAAAAATATATTATAATTGTATGTTGTACAATATTGCTAACATGATTGCCTACGTTCGATAAGGAATACGGCACTAAAAGAAGATGTTGAAAATATAATATTGTTTATTTTTCCATTTCGACACTAATCTACAAGTAGTAGGTATTATAAAAGCTTTTACTTGTTTTTGTCTACGTATCAAATGGTACATAATTGTGGTATTTAGAGTGGCCATATTTTTTGTAATATATGGTTAGTACCCAACTCTTAAGAAAATGTTTAATACATATTATGACTAATTTCAATTGAAATGTTGCTAATAGGTAAAAACGTCAATGAAGTAACATTTTATAAGGCACTAAAGAAATTGTTGTTATAGTTCTAAAAGCATGTTATTAAATACTCCATGTTATTATGTCTTATATTAGAATCACCTTGGCATGTAAAAGTGCAATGAAGAGTATCAGAACTTTATCTGATATGGCCAAACCTAACCTACCACAGAGCTTAAAAGTTGCATATCATAAATAGACAATGAAGTAATAACATATGTACAATACATATGTACTTTAAAAATCGGTTAGGTTTGAAAAAAATGTTATTTGTACTTATAAACAATAATTACTTCAAATAAAATAACACATTATTTTCAAATAGTAACTTGTTTTTTTAATAAAAGTGCACAGAAATGATTAATCTATTGTTACCAAGACTGAAACTATATACTATAAATTGGACAAGGTTTATTAGACATCTTTACAAATATTTGTCAATCGATTAGATACCGGCTATTATATTAATAACTCTAAACGTAGCAGACAAAAAGCGTTAGGTTACATAATAATTATTAATCAAAGGTTATCCGACAGACACACGTCATCTTATTTTTTTTTATGACGTGAAAAAATATATCTTCTCTTTTATAAAATAAAAAGTTAGGATATAAATAAAGAAGGATTAGGTATAATATTTTAACACGGCCAGTTATTATTATTATTATGATGTCATCTCTTCTTTTACCATTATAAAATTGTCAATACTGTGTGTTGAACTTGTCAGAGTCGAGATAAAAAAATTACCAAAACCCAAGAATCTAAATATAAAATATGACATTTATTAATTGGCTTCAAACCGACACATTAAAAAAAAATGTACGGTAACTCTGACTATGCGGTTAAAATATAGCTTTTCTACAATATTCTAGTTTTGTATTTTTCGAAAATAAGCTGAAAAGTTTTCCAAAGTACCTATTTTGTGTTTTAATAATTTATTAGGAAAACACGTCTAAAGCAAACCCCAGCGAGGACAAATATTCATTTTTTTACGGGTTGGCATCTATTAATATTTATATAAAAAAAAGAGAGGGGGAAATTCAAATACATATATTGTTATTTTGTTTTCGAGTTTGTGTCCAAAACACGCGATTACCAGATAAAAATCAATACCCTTGAAATTTCAAGACATGTATATTAACATACTTACTATAATATTATAATATCTGTAACTCATGCTTTAGGTTATATTATGGCTTATGCACGCTTGTATATTGTTGTGACAACGTTGGCTTTCTCCAAAGAGGAGTTTCGTGAACAGTCTCTTGCTTGTAAGTCAATATTTTTTTTTGTCCCGGAGTTCTAAACAAATTATTGACATTATTAATAAAATTGTTGAATGTTGAACAACAATTTACAAAGCTTTTAACACTTCTATGCAATGTGGTCCGTTTGATCTTACATAAGCAACACTGGTGTATATCATATCATATGTATATTATGTTATCTCTAATATTAATATGTATATATTTGCTATAATTATTGGTTTTTTTTTTGTAAGGCTTGTCCCATACAATATTCAGTACAGGTGTCTCATGCCAGTTTGTCAATTTTTGGTTTAGTATTATAAAATATTTTATAACAACCTAATACACACGACGTGAATGTAATGAAGCTGTGAACTTTAAATGACAAAATACGTAAATTGTTAAAAAAAAATATACACGTGTAAAGTGAAAAACGCTTGTTTAAAATTTTCATACATATGCATCGTTTATTGTTTAGCATTTTTTTTTTACGTATATAATATAAAAACACTTTACAAATTTGAAAAAAAATTTGACAGAATAATAATTAAACAAAAAACGCAAAAAAAAAAATGTGTTTATTACAAAAACATTTAACGCACCATTCTTAAAATAAAATAAAAAACAGCAACCAATATACCATTTAATAGTAATAATAATAATTAAAATAATAATGACGTATTTACAAGTTTTATTTAATTTAAATGTTTTAACGGTGGTGTTGGTTTTAAGGAAAAAAATATATATTTAATATAACAGAGCGTCGTTAAATATGTTAAGGAATTTATAAATGCTCTTGGTGTGAAAAAATGTACTTAAGCTAAAATTATAATAATAATAATAATAAATAATAATGTGATAGTTTTCGTGTGAAAAATTAATTGTAAAATACTTCATAGAACATAATATGTCAGTGTAACGTGGTAACGTGACAAATAATAGAAAAAAAAAATACAATATAATATTATAATAGTAGTAATAAAAACTTTTTCATCTTTTTACAATATTGCTACGTTTACGTAGTCACAAAATTTTATTGCACCGTTGATTTTTCTCAAAAAACAAAAAAAAAAGTATTTTCAAATTATAATATATAACATACACGTCTAAACGGTATTTTTTATATAATATATCTTATTTATATAAATATATTAAAAAAAAAAACAAATGTCAACTGTACAGCTCGTCACGACCATAATAAACGACGTCAACCAAATTAAAAATTATATTAATACAAATTCCTTATTTTCTGTTGGTATTTTTAGTATTATTTTTTTTTTTGAAGTCTAACAACAGGGTAATTGACAACAAACTAGAAATGAGATAAACAGGGAATGAGCACAATTACACGTTTTATTCAAAATATATTGGGGAGGGGATGAGGGTAGGGGGAATCGATGAGCACTTCTCTTTTTAAAGCGATAGTACAAATGAGATCAAATAAAAAAAGTAAAAAAAAAAAAAAAATCATTGTCAGACGTGTGACTCGAGCGGTACGTTGAGAAGCTTGGAAACGTAGTTCGGGTCTGTGGCTACGCTCCTGGGTCGTATGCCCGTCTCCTTGAGGCCGCCCACGACGCGCTCCCAACTCAGGTCCGGAGAGCTGGTCCGGAGCTGCTGCTCCTTACGGCCGCACTTGTCTAGTTCCTCTTTTTCCTTGTTATCCAGCCAAGTGATTTTATCAAAGTCTTTGGTGCCCCCCACCGTGTGCCTCCTCTTGATACTGCGATCAGTAGCGACTCCGTTTTTCCTCTTCTGACGGGCCTCCTTGTCCCGCAACGAACTACACCGCCTGGACAGGCCCTGCTTGCGCTTGTTCATGTTGCATTCGGTCTTTTCCGTCTTGCTAAGCGAATCCGACCGTCGATGCTTAGACGCGTCACCGTTTTTTGTCAACATCATTACTTCGAACTTGGTATACTTGGGTGTGTACCTCTCGTGTTTGTTCAACGACTCACAACGGCGCAATTTCACGTGGTTACTATAGTCCGGACGATTCTCTTTTTGTTTAAGGGATTCAGAACGACGCAGGCGCACATTGGAACTAGCGTTAAAATCCTGCAGACAATCAAGACGGTTCGAGCTCGGCGATTCAGTTTTCGGAGAATTCTTTACACTTTCACTAGCCGAATCTTTCATGGTTTCAGTTTCCTAAAAATTATACAGTTTTTATTAGCGATTCAATCGATTAAAAAAAAAAAAAATTAATTAATTACGAAACACTAATATAATCAATTATTAGAAAAATTAATTTTATTACAAATTCTTGTGATATTTAATTAAAATAAATTTTTATTTGTATTTTTTAAATAATTTTCCAAAAAAAAGACCTGATTTATAATTAGAACACATTATTTTCTATAAGTATTATATTATTAGATATTCCATTTAGTTAAAAAAAAATTATTTGAGTAAATAATTAAAATTTAAATTAAATAGCTTTTTAATTATAAGATATTTATTTTTGTTGATAAAAATGTGTTCAAAATAATACAAAAGACGTGTGATCTACGTAATAACGTATGACTTACGTGTTTTTCAGTAATGTGCTGGCTACGCCTTTCCAATGACCTATGCAAACTTGGATCTCTGTACGTCTGTACATCGGTTTGCTCATCCTCAGACTTGGAGGATTTCTGTTGCGACTGTTTGTCGTCCACAACATCGGAGGTGGCTGAGCAGGAGGTGGCCGAGTCGCTGGGTATCAAAAGAGATTTGAGTTTCTTGTCAAAGGCGGAAGTCAGACTGACCAATAAATCCCCTCCTATAACAATTTATGCACAAATTTTATTCCACACATTTGGTATACACGCAATAAAAAATTCAAATTATTAAACACACAAGATGGATAGAAATAAAAAATAATAACTTTAAAAAAAATCTCATCAAGTATTAGCAAATGTTAAAATATACTATATCAATCAACTACAACATTATGGTAACACACGCTCGGTTAAACACAAAAATAATTTTAGATAATAATTTCATCACACAAATGATTATACATTTAAAGTTCTATTGATTAGTTGCTAAAAAAGGTTAAGTTGTTTGATGTTATTTGAAATAAATTTTGATTTAGCTCATGAAATAATTTACTGTATCAAAAAAATAGTATTTTAATATATATTGTTTCAAATATAATTTTATTAAAATACATGTTATGGTGTTTGTTTAAATAAAAATTATTTAAATAATACTCAAGTTTGCCATAATAAAACAGTATGGAAAATGTATATTTTAAATAGAAATGATAATTGCTATAGAAGGACTGTGAAAATAGTATTTATAACTACACAACAATAATAATTAATGTGGATTATAAAATCCCAAAGTTTAGAATTACATTTTTTAACTTTAGAAAGTTAAATTTTAAGATGGGAATATCGACAGTAAGTAGAAGAGTTAGTAGTTCAGCAATAAAAAAAATGACAAACATTAAAACAAGCTCAGTTAGTAATAATTAGTAAACAGAATCAACATCAACTTTGCAGTATTATTCATATATATGAACCTTTCGGGTTGATAGTAGTAGTGATGCGGAAACTGATTTAAGGACGTGCCAAAAACCCATCCTTGTCTTTTGTTATTTATGTGCTGGTGTATGTTACCATTTGCTGTAAATTTCATCAACGTATTTCAAACAATAAATCAATAGCGTAGGCAGCATTACATTAAAACGTAATGAATACACATCTACTATAAACTATACCTAAATAATATCTGTCTAATGATGTTATTAAAAATTACTTCATAGACAAAAATACTTTCAGTTTTATCGCTATTGTATTACATTTTGAATAAAAATATATAATGTAATAAAATAATGAAATAAAAAATGCTATTAATAATTCAATGACGCTGTAAAAGAAATTTTTACCTTCGTCGGACACATGGCTGACGGGACGTTCTTTAGGCCCTCTCGAAATATCATTGAGAGAATCCTCCGACCAGGTGTCTGTGTTGTCGTTACTTGTTTTCAATCTTTTTTGGTTATTTTTGGAATCCGCTTCGCTCTTCGTCTGATCGAACGTACTACCACCATTCGGTGTACCCTTCGATACTTTCACCATAACTGATAAAGTAAAATAATAGAATATTAATTGAAGTTATTTTCAAAATGCAGTGTTAAGATATTTACTCGGAGGATAATCTTTAGCGAGCAACAAGGCATTGCTCGTTTGCATCACAGGCTCGTCAACTCCAAAGTACTCTCTTCGCCTTTGGCTCCTACTTTTTTCTCTCTCGAGCATTGCTTTAGTTTCTTGTTCGAATCTACGTATTCGCTCTTGAGTCGTCTCGGCCAGGTTGACGTATGATTTAATGGGAGCACCACAATCTGTATTTTGAGACGAAGAATCCGAGTTGGGATTGCCAAGGCGATTCAGACTGTCTTCAGATTCATTGAGACTAGCCGTCGAAACGGTCTCAGAACTAGCTTTTGAACTGTTTAGTTTATCTTTATCGGACATGCCCTGTTTGGTAAAGGTAATACAATTAAATTAACATATTGTTTTTGAATTATAATAACTTGATAAACTTTACTTGTTTGATGTCTGAAGTGGAAGGCATGCTGCTGGTTTGAAGAACTACATTACTGGTATTGGAGCGGGATTTTCTTGATCCACTAGAGCTCTTTCCGGTGGCCCGATGCATTTTTCGGTTAGCTGCCGCCACAATATTGGTTACCAGATCTTTGGCAATAAACGGCGTGTACTGGTTGCCCGAAACCTTGTTGATGTTATCGAGCAGATTCTGGTTGGGAGCGGCTTGTTCGATTTCCGGAACCTGTCCGCAATTTTCTGGTATAGACGCTTTGAGATCTGCCACATCGCCATTACCGTAACACCAATCGGCCTGAGTACATACATTTAAATTAGTGTAACTAACATTTAAAAACAACAATTTTGTTTAAATACTAAAGAGAGGGAGAAAATCGAGATAAAAGTTGAAAAAATACATTTTACCCATGGTAATCAATGTTCGTATCATCCAAAATGTTTTACTACTTAATCGGTTGTCTTAAAATATCGGGTATCATTAATTGTGAAACGCATAACAACAAGCATAGATCGCCATATATCACAATATTTAACCTACCTGTAATATTAGTGATTCCACAATACGGCACTGGTGACTCATATCTGTGACCATGGTTACCATATTGTTGTCGGCCGAATGTACAAGTGTGGGACCAAACACTATGGCCAAATTACGCGCTTCCATTTTGTTCACTCCGCTGTGATGGACAACTTTTTTAAGGTGCATTAACAAATATTTTAACGTTTCAAAATGATGTTCCGGCAGTTTATGAACCTAAATAAAAAAAAAAAACAAATTTTAATGAATTGCAAAAAGTAATTCAGTACACACAGACAATAAAAGCCTGTACTCACCAGTTCACGCAATTTGACCATTCGTTGAACAGGATCATCAATTTTATCCGCCTCGATGAAATGCGGGTACATTTCGGTGGTTAATAGCGCTTCAGGAAGTCTTCGGAAAAACGATTTCAACAAACTGGATATGACATTTACATCAGTCCAACGTGGGTCTCGTTGCAGAAGTTTGGCGGCCATTTCGGGAGTCTCCATACCGCCAGTGTTTACGGCTTCGGTAAGTGATGTAATAGCTGCGGTGTTACCAGGAACCCTAAGCCGATAACAAGAGAACATAAATATTAGGCTTCGATAAATCAGAGAGCAAATATCGACTGATAATGAAACATACCTGTAAATACCAATGATATCTAATCCCTTGTCTTCGACGATAGACGTGCATACTTCGACAATTAACGGTACACACTCCGATTGAGTAGACTGAAAATAATAACAAAGAAATAAATGATTTGAATAAATGATTTGAAAAAATGAATAGGATAAAGCCTAGATTTGAGTGATATACTTACTGGTGGGCAGAGTTCTAAGGGGATACCAATAGTCGTACCAGGTGGCGGAGGAAGAGTCGGCATTATAGGAGACACCGGGGAACCCGATCCCTGTTGAATTTTTTTCAACTGTTTGGCCATCCGGTTTTTCCAAGTGTTGGTCGACTTGGGTGACTGTGGTTGTGTTTGACTTGGGCTCCTGTCGGGTTTACGAGTTTTGGTGATCGGAGAATCACCGGTGGGTGAACGGTTTCTGAATGTAGCAAGCTTACGGATGCCTTTGGTGTTTCCGGGTGAGATGCTGGCACACTGCAATCAAGTATAAAACGAATATTTAAACTTGAACTTTATAAGAATTATTGTGTAAGTAATTTCAAATTGTTAAAAAAAAAAAAAAAAACGCTAGATCGAAAAGCGTCGATAGGTTATAGGTTAATTTAGACAGAGATGAAGAACCCTCGGTCTTAAATTTCGTGACGCAGTTGACTGTCTCCAAAATAACGTGTTCCAGGTTAAAAAATATAAACACAAACATAAGTGTGTTTGTAAGGAAAAATCTTGTTACCTCTTCTGCGGAAAGGGACGCCGGCGCTTCCAGGGCTTGTTCTTGAAGAGCTTTGAGCCAACGCACCATTGAAGATGTGTCGTCGGCTTGCAACAGCAGTTCGGTGCATCCCACTTCGGCCGAACTCAACCTCATGACGTGCTTGCGTTTCACATAGTCTTGTGCCACGGCCGTGGTGGACGTCAACAAATTGATCTGATCGCAAGACATGTTTACATCGTCCGTTTTGTCCAGCGGAGCCGGAGTCTATAAAAAAAATTAAAAATGTTAAAAATGAGTATAAAATAAAAACATTGTTCTTGTCTGTCGGACACCACACTTGATCGAGCGGATTTTTCTACTTGAAAGTACACAAAAATCGAGCAAACAAAGGCAGAGTTTAATTCAGACTAGACTCTGGGCGATAGACATAAAATTATTGTACTGTCATACCCAAGAACCGGCCGAAGCCCACCGTTTGAGCCGAGGTCTCCTCTTGGAAGCTCGCAGCCATACCGGCATGCAGGAATACTTAAGACGGCGGTCGGGGGAGCAAAACGAATGCATATTAGGCTGATATTTTTTTAACTAAAAAACCCGCACACGAACGGCCGTTAGGATGTGTGAACTGCGACTGACCGCAGCAGATCGTCGTCGCCGTTATGGAAATTAATAACGAATTGGACGTTACAGCGTAGAGAGATACAGACATGACGCGTGCCCCTATTGTTATGGGTTGTTAAGCAAACGCATACATTATAAACGAGAGTAATGATAAATATAAAAAAAAACCGCCACATGTGGTCCAATACGAACCATATGCGAACGCCGCAAAGCATTGCACGGTTAATTTTAAAATAATAATACAATTTTCGATGCGAAACTGTAGATGGTAAAAAAACCATCACGTACGATGTAGCTAGGATTAAGTTCGTATATAATATAGTTTTACAGGCAATAAATGTGTGAAAAATATCCCAAACAAGTTTGGAACTAATTCGAATTAATGTTAATAAAAACATTAAATTTATCACCTAACCTCTAATACCGTGGGCTCAGACACAAACCGGTTAGGTTAGGTCAGACAGACTTGCCTCGTGAAAAACTCTCGGTTGCTGCATTAATAGAAACATAAAAACACATCACTGGGAAAACAATACCTACACGGGTCCGCATCGAAGTTGAAAATTCGGTGAAAGTAAATTGTGTACTACCGAAGCAGAAAAGAAAAAAACCTTAGGTATACAATATAATCGTGCGCACTAAGGAAGACAATCGGTTTGATACGGTTCGGGCTTGTGTTTAATTAGGTGAAAATATGCGCAACAGTACTTTGATCATTTTCCGGATAATACACTGTATATAATATTATTATACTCACTTCGACTGCGGAAACGTTCGGTGCCGTCTCTCGCTGTTTGTCTTTGTACAGGCACAACGTTTGTCCGCGCACCACCGCCCACACGGGTTTCCACGACCTATCTCCTGCTTTCTATAATTATAAAATTTAAAAAAACCATAATTTATTATCGGGATAAGGGTTCAACACACAATTTCTTAACCCAACCGATGAAAAAATACTACCTAAAAAATTAAAATTTACACTATACAAGAAAGAAATATATTTTTTCAAAGAAAAGAATAATGTTTAAAAATGCAGTACGCCAAAGCAAAAATTGTAAAACACCAGAATCACAAAAGTTGTAAACTACTAAAATGTTTCCCATAAGGTTATTAAAATATAATAGTAAAAAAAAACCGTGTCGTGTCTTAAACGGTTCTTAAGAGTTAAATTTAATAAACTTGAACAAATTTGTAAACAAACAAGATTTTTAATTATTTACAAATAAACGTATGCACAGATATTTTTTTTTGTTAAAATAAATTATGGACTCACCTTCCCGTCCAACAGTATGACTTTGCACAGCAACGACCCTTCCTTGACAACCCGGCTGTTGCCCAAGTCTTGGAAAGGAGGACCGGCGACGCTCTTTTTGCTGCTACCGAGTTTGCTACAAACACAGTAAAATAACGTAAAACAAAAATTGTCGTTGAAATGTTGTACTTATGTTAAAAAACCAAATCACACTTGGTAGCAAACCAAAAATTGCGTAATGACGTGTACTTAAGCCGAAATTACAACTTTTATAATAACAACCAATGTTAAAATACGGGCCAGAATTAGTCAAAGCAAATATTCCAAGGTGATTCCTAGTATGTATTGGGATTCAAACAAAACGGATTTCCTATATCTAAATACACTTGGACAAAAATTTTGAATGAGATTTCCAAAGAAATTATATCCATATTTCATACTTCGTCGCTGTTTTATTTATTTAGTTTGGGAATACCGTTTATCTGGACCAAACTTACTTAGAATCTCCTTGAAATTTACTTTACCTCATCTACGCATAAATAAAATAATTAAAAATTATCGCGTTAAGATAAATTACAAAAAATTTTCTATTAAACAATATTTTTTACTTCGAACTGAGTTGATCGTTATTAATTATTATTATGCAAAATAAATAGTAGTTAAATAATATGATTGTATACAAATTGTATGGTACACGCCATTGTATTGCTATCAAACGTTATTCGGTTCGCTATTGTGTCATAGGTTTATAGCGAACAATCAAATCGGAAATCTAAGTAAGATTAAACAATTAGTTTTACACGGCTGTTGTCATAATATTACCCTATACTTTTAGTACACTGTGCAATTCTTTTTTATTAATAATGTCATTAAGCATTTACAAAGGACAAACGACGTTTAACCGTTTGATCTTACCGTATACAAATTTGTAATTTTTTTAACTGACTATAAGAGAGATAAGAGTGGTTTTAAGATGGCACTTTTCTCCATTTGCAATTATTTGACAATTCTCTTAACACTATATCTCATGTAACAAAATATATTGACCCCCTATATAAACCCTCTTAAAAATCGTTTTAAGCAAATTTCGGAGCACATAACAGGAAATCTCTACTAGGATATATCTGGGTTAAAAACATTAAAAAAATCTACTATCTATAAAAAAGTCTAATAAGAATCGTTATTTTATAAACGTATAAATAATCTTATATTATTATTAACCGAATTAATCTCAAACGGTAATATGAACGCTAAACAATATTATTTAACTTCCCAATTGGATTTCCGGACGCGCGTGACTGATCTATTCGTCGTCTACACTTACAAAAATGACTATCCATTAATATAAGGTTATATTATATTATATTTTATATACAAAACTAACGAATTACAATGGTATTTTTTTTATGTTTCGATTACCGACGAGAACCAAACCGAGTCGAGAGATCAAAGGTGTGTTTACACGACAGTGTGTGATTGGAGATCACTGGCAATAATTATTTTGTTAACAACGGCGAAAAGAACGTTATTATTCATGAAGCAGATGGACGAAGATAACGTTTATACCTTTTTTTTTTAAATGTATATTATGCTACAAACATACAGTTATAATAATATAATATTATGTACATGCGGGCGGTGGTCGCGTGCTCAGTTATCAATTCGAAATCAACGACCAGAACGAAAAATGTGTAACCTACCTATTAGTAGAATATTATTTCTGTATGCACTTATAAAATACAATATATAGCTATATTGGACCATCTCGGTCGTGTCAAAGGTTAACAGGGACCGTATCGAATTACACGTGAAGGAGTCACGAGGGGAAAAAAAAATGTGTAAAATCAATGAATGTTTAATCAAACGAATTTGGCAAAGGGGAAGGCAGTTCGTCGAACAGACGAGAACGTCATTTGAAAAAAAACAACATTAGCTGCTTTGAATAAACGATAAAAAACAGAGCACTAATCAACAATTGGCATAGGCAAATCCGAGACGGCCGATATTGTTTCTAGACCCATATTTTCACGGTTTACTTAAAATTAATGGAAAAAAAACAAACAATAAAATTAGTAAAAAAAGTAAATATTGAAAATTCCATTATAATGAGCTGTTAAGCCAGTTAAAAAACGTTGTTTACCCGGGACACTAAGCAACGTTTAATTAAAAAATATTATAACCACAACCGTGTTGGATAATTAACGATGGGCGTTAGACAATAAAAAAATAATGCCGAGGGGGAGGTAGCTAAAGCCACACCCAAAAATCTAGGAGCTTCTGTCGGTGCCACGCGCTTAGTGCACGATTTTTTATCTACAAAATTATTAAAAATAATAATAATCAACGGATTTTTTAAAAAATGGAAGTCAGATAAAAAAAAACTCACTCAATAGTTGTTTTTCTTCATACATTTTTTTTCTATGAGCTAAAAGCGATTTTTCGATATTAATAAAAAAAAAGAAGGATGTGGTGGGAAAAACTCTTAACTATTATTATCATTATTATGCTTTTTGGGAAATCGTTTGACTCTACCTATTGAGTGTATATTAGTTTTTGACGAAATAGATTCAGTATAATTCGACCGAACCAAAACAAATCGAAGGCCGCATCCTTGGCGGATTCAATTTTGAATTGATATTTGACATTTGATTTTTTTTTTTTTTTTAACATTTGGTTCAGACTTACTGGAAATCATGATAAACAATGTCGGTGGCCGGTACGCAATAATCGTTTTGTCGGCGAAATTTACTGACTTTACAAAAACACATTTTTCCCTCGACCGAAGCACGTCGGGTCCATAGCTTAAACACGGTTTGGCTGTAACTGAGAGAAGAGACAAGATGCGAAAAAAAAGAACCAAACTGGACCACGTCATGACCAAGTTAGGATCGGACACGGCCGATCGTGTCCGTACAAGTTCAGTCTCAAGTCAGTAGACGGTTCGATTGGTTTTGTTTTGTTTTTTGGAAAAAATCAGAAAAAAATTCCACGCGTGAGTAAAAAAAAAATATATATATAATATTTCCCAGTAAAGGTAGCTATCAACTTAAGCTAAACGCGGCAAGGCCGTTTTTTCAAATCGAATTGTCAAAATAATAATAACTAATATAAAATAATAGATTGTACGATTAATGTTATTGTTAGGAAAGCACAGAAAACTGTCCAAAGATATAATAATATTAAACACATCTACGACGGTTAATACTGCGCCGTCTCAAAAAGAAAAAAATGGTTTTCAAATTGTGTTCATAAGCGTTTTTTTGTCAGGTTTTTTTTTTTGAAAACTGTAAAACCAGACGACGAACGTTTGATTTACGATCCGTACCGAACGAACAATAGTTTGTTATCGGTTGACCGAAAAAAACAACAACACAACACAAAGCACAATGATATAAAATATTATTATTATTTATTACAATTTTCAGAAATCTCACGAAAATAGGCCAAAAAAGAACAATAGTCAATATTGAACATCTCGCCTTAAACAGAGCTTTTATCGTTCATCAAGCACCAACAACGGGGACGGCCCGACCTAACCTGGGTAGTCTTTTTTTTTATAACAAAAAATTATTTTGAAGAATTTTGTATATTTTGTTCAAGTGACACAAGTCAAAAAGTAAACAATTTAAAAAAAATGATTTTTATTAGAGAATACTTGTGTCACTTTAGAAACGCTTGTGCGATTCTTTTATTTGCTCTTTTAAAAAATATATTCATTTGAACTTTTATTTAATTATTGTTTATATCATTAAATACAATGTTATTTAGAGTTAAAAATTGAAAATGTATTTGAATTAACTGTTATTTGCTATTTAATTTGTTCAAATAATAATGTATTTTAAATATTGTTGATTTCATTTTTGAATGTTTTGGAAAATGTACAGATATTTTAATTTTTACTACATTTTACGTTAGGTTATCTAAGCTCTAGCAGTTTGACCAAACTCCCTTCGGTCCACTCTTAAATTAACTACTGGTTTTACTTAATAAACTCTGAGCAAAAAAAAACTAAACTATATCGATTTTATTATTATTATTATAATTATATACTATACTAATGATAGTAAAATAACAATATCGGATGAGACATAAACACCGGTAACACACAAAAACGTGGAAACCTCTAATTAAACAATTAATACAATTTACACAATATTAACTAAATAATGCAAGTAACACGGAAACAACACGCCTAAACCTTATACCAAAGCCAAAAATAAAAAATAAATGTTTTAAAAAAAGTTTTCTGACAAACCCGCGGTCACAACTTGCGGCAGCATCTTCGAAAAGTCGCCTTAACCTTTGTATGTCACCCGGAAATAAAGGAGCGCACCATTTTTTTGGCACTCTGCACACATACACAAAATATACATATTTTTTTAAATACTAGAAGAAAAATCCTTTGACCAGAATTATGTATTCCTATTATGTCCACTCAATAAATGCAGTATTAAACCCGTTTTGTCACACGGCACTTAATAATAAATGAAAATCTATTAATTTTGGGCTATCATGAGCTGTAAAGACTAATACCGGTCAGAGACATCAGTGTTTGCATTGATTTTGGAATACAACAAAATAAAATTATACTACAATAAAACGAGTATTAAACTTAGAAATTTTCACTTGCGCTGACTGAATACCATTTAGTTCGATTACGGGTTTATCAGTGGCGAGTGGCCTTATCATAATGATAAAGGATGATAACGGCCAAAATCTATGGTTACCTCAGTGGTAACACTTTCGCTACCGTGCATACCTAGTAAAACGAAATTGTTTGACGCGTAAACCAAACTTTAAACGAGTATATTTTTTAAAAATTATGTTCTGATAATCAGGTCTTCATCTTAATACTAAAAGGGAAAATGATGTCAGACAAATTTTAAACGACTGTATGTAATACTACGTCATACCGGTTGTTGGCCAAAGGAAACATAATATCGAGTTTTGACTCATACCTAACACTAGAGAATTTTCAAATACCACATAATGTTAATACACATTCATATCATGGTAATACGTCTCTTGCATAAGGGGTTTTTAACACTTACTTGATAGCGGTCAAGACGGTGGTTGGTTCAGATTCGGACTCTGTGGTGGTAGACAAGTCGTCGACGCTCATCCGGTCTCCCCAGGCCGTCGCCTTCAAGTACGATATCCTTCGGGTAGTGCGTTCCTCGTCTGTCATAATTAGATATAGTCAGACACAAAAAAAAAAAAATTATTGTCGATTCTCTAGTACTACGACACAATATTGCATGATGCATAGTATTAAGCATGGACCTATTAAGAGGCGGACTGATAGTAACTAGAATAGTTTTAGAATCTCATGATAGAAACAGTTATAAATCATGGAAAAATACTAATATTAGTTTTTATCATCAAGAATAACATATAACAGCAGCAGTTGATAAGATATTTTCATTCGATTTTTGTTCCATGGGCATTGCTAAATATGCAGTTCATTTTTTTAAAGGTCCATGTAATTCTCGACATAATATTGAGCGTATAACGTGTTAATTGTACATTATTTAATCGTATGAATTGATGTGTGGTAAAGCACGTGGGGTATAGCATTAAAAAATAGATGATAGAGATGTTTTTTCCCCTCACCGTTAATGTCAATGAGGTTAGTTCTTAACTTGACGGCGGCCGCGGCTATTTCGGACGGGCTTTGCTCGACTGTATCGGCCGAAGGTTCGGTGGACACTGTGGAGAAAATAAGAAAAAAATCCACCGAGTTAATTTAAAAGACTTTTGTGGGTCAACATCTTTTGATTTTTTCAGCTGGCTCCACAGTTATTTGTATATTTTTAAGTAAATCGATCAAGTCGATCGCACAACACAATTATTGCGGCAAACTCCTCGAGAAAAACCGAGAAGCGCATTACAATAAAAACTATATAAAACTACACACACACTCACACACCAGCCCAATGCAAATGCGACTCTACATAAAATAAATAAGCAGCAGCGGCGAATGGCAAGCTATTTAATTGTCTACTGCGAAAAAAAACACATTAAGATAATTAATATTGTTTCTACATACATGCAAGATACATACATCGATCGGGACAGGTTAGATAAAACCTCTATAAAGGTACACATGTAGATGGTCGGTCATACGGTTACTTAAACGATGTTGTTTTCTCCTACGGCTATTCAAATAATTAACACCATAGGCGAGATGTGCAGAGTTTTTTTTTCTTTCTTTAACGTTTCAATTACTACTCGGCGATGTATGGTGTACTTGTTATAATAATAAGAACGGCGAAGAGAAGCGCATTACAGTGTTTTTATTTATAAGGTATTTTTCAACTTTTTTTTTTTTTGCTTACAATAAAAACTGGTACTTAGTCGTGAGTTAAGGTCACCGGGAAATAGCTGAATTGCAGTAGCGATCACTGAACTATCCCTTCCGTGGTGGGTAGCCTGAGAGTACTATTTAATTTGTTTAAAATGTTATAGCAAATGTGTCCTGCTTACTTAAAAAACAAATTGAAAGGTATATTCTAAATAACAAGACATAAAACATTATTGATACTGTAAATCAATTATTAAAAAAAAAACATGTCGCCGTTCTCAACAGTTTAGCTTAAACAATCAGTACAGTTGCCTACTGAAATTATTGACTTGACTTAACTTTTAAAACGTTAAGAAAACGGGTGAGAACAGCCATTAATGAGATATCTTTGTTTGATTATTATCAGTGTTTTATCACAAAATCAATACAGTCCAAGGGACATATTTTTCTTATGAAGTCTGATTTGTATCAGTGATAACAGGCATCCGTTGTTAAATAAATAAACATTGTTTTTTATTAAAAATAAAACGAACAAAAGTATAACGCCGTCGATTCGAAATTTTGGGTAGTAGGTAATGATTGTTAGTCAAGATTGTTTTTATATATTGTTATATATTGATATAAATAAAGCTGATTGAGGAAAAATAAGTATTGTAAAGAAGAAAAAAAACAAGAAAGATGAATGTAGATTTCTAAAATTGAGTGTAACAATATAACAACAATAACGATGACGGAGGCTGTGAGCTATTAAATCATTATGAATTCAAAAATTGACCTACATGTTAAAATTATTATTCATGCAATGTTTTACGGTTTTAATTTTTTCTTCAATAAGAAGTAAAACGACGTTCGGTCACGACTCGAATAGCGGAAATCGTTATAATTATTATTCAATTAATATTACAAAGAAGCTTTCTAAGCCCAGTGACATCATCATCATTCTTCAAGTGTGCAAGACTTAAAGAGTAAAAATACGTAATACAATATTATGGTTTTGTTAGTAACGTGCAACGGGTTCTCGAGTATAATCTGATAATATATAATAAAAGCTGGTCATTAAACGAGTTACTTAAAAATATAATAAATGACATTGAATTGATTTTAATCACAGATAAAAAATTTACAAACTATTTTTTGTTAATATCTAAAAATTGTAAGATATTTTTTGTATTCATTTTTATGAAATTTGTTTAATTACACTTGAGTTCACACTATTTACATGACTTAAAGTTACTCCCACTTGGATGTCTTGACTAGTTCGCTAACGTTTCGGAACACTTGCACTTCCATCTTCAGGGCTATGGTTCGATGTTGCTCGTACCGCGTTATATACCATACCCCCACCGCATTCTCCGCTTCCTCTTACCGCAGCCAGCTGTTTTCTACGGCCACGCCCCTTCGCCGACTACCGCATGACTGATTTTCTTAGAAAACAGTAGGCAGCGGCAAGAGGAAGCGGAGAATGCGGTGGGGGGTATGGTAAGAGCACACGGAAGCGAAACGGTCAGTCTGCAGGAGAGCGCGGTACCAGCAACATCGAACCACAGCCCTGAAGATGGAACGTGCAAGTGTTCCGAAACGTTGGCGAACTAGTCAAGACATCCAAGTGGGAGTAACCTCAAGTCATGTAAATATAACACCCCACTTAAGTTTCAATAATTTTTTACACTTGAATTCATTACCCGAGATAATTATTAATTTACAAAAATAATACTTCTGTCTAATTAGAAAATGTCAGTTATTCTTATATAATTAACAAATTATTTGTTATTTTTCAATTAAATATTGCCCAACTCTGATTGCTCGTTTACATTGTTCCAGTCGGATTTGACTTTTAAGAAGTATTATTATTTTTAATTTATTAGATAAATATTATTAATCGAACGAAGGGCTAAAGCGTATTATTATTCTCTCGTTAGATCCTCTCTCCTCGTGTTATACAGACCACTCTTACTTTATCATAGTTATCATTATTATTATTATTATTTTTTTTTTTTTTAGGTTTTTTGTGTGTAATAAGAACTGGCTAACCTTGGCTGGAGCCACTGGAGTGCACGGCGAAATCGACCGGCCTATCCTTGGGCAGTTCCAGTCGCGTTGGACGAATGCACCGACGGTGGTTTTTCTTATCCGAGCTGATGCCGCCGTTTTCCACGACCATCGGCCTCTGACTCCGTCGTTCTTTGCACACAATTGTATTTTATTGTATATTTTATTTTTAAAAGCATTACACAATTATCATTATTATTAATATGTATGGGAGATACCGCCACGATATACAGTGAAAACTCCGCTAAGAAAATCAAACCCGTCTGTCCCCTTTAAAGAGGGCGGAAAGTTTACTGTATTTGTTGCCTCTTATCAGTTAACGGGGGATTATTAATTTTCCTATGAATATCCTTATTTAAAAACACAGTAGTCACTATTGGCTCTTGTTGATATTTACTTATTGTGATTTATGATGATATTTTATTTGTTTTGTCATGTAAACAAGATGATTTAATTGAAGTCATTTTTTTTTTGAAAACATTTATTAGTTGTTTTTATATCCAAAGTGATCGCTCGAAATGTTCAAATATTATGTTCACAATTAGAGAAACTAATGAAATACACACGTTACAGACATTAAATAAATATTTAAAAATTGTATACAATCGTAAAAAAAAATCTGTTGTCTCACATGTTAGATGTTATCGTGGAACATTTTTATTGGCTATAAAATTATTTATATATATTATATTGCTGGCTAGTATTGAATTATTGTTGATTTTTTTTTTTTGCATTACAAAATGACCGTCGTGTACTTAGGCGTTTTCTCTTTTTTGATTCTCCCAGAAAGAGAGTAAAAAAAAAAAAGAAACAATAAAGTACAACCTATTTGGTGGTGCACTGCATTGTCATTTCGAACTTAAATTTTTTATCAATATTTTTTTGTTTGCTATATAACTTTCTTTATTCATTCGAACGTTTTTTTTTAAAAAATTTTTTATCGAATCCTCAATGGGGAAAAATAGTTTGTGTACATATTATAAACAATGTAACCAGTTACATTGTTACTACCTCACCTTCTCCCATTTCAATCTATTCTTTCGTCCGATTTTTAAGGCGAAAACAATACCTTATTTTTTTTAAAACACTGTATTTTGAGATACAGATATTGCTTGTATAACACGCCCAAGAACCAGTCGTAAAAGGGCGGGGGGAGGACGGGGAGACAAAAACCGCTTTATAAAATATGTGCTATGTGGTGACCAAAACGAGAGACGGAGAAATTCGATATATCACGGGGTTATTTTTACTCTGTTGGCGTAGGCGTCGGAAAAAGTATACATGTCACCAGTTGAGAAAAAATATATACACTAGACTGTCTAAAAAAAAAAAGAAATTGAACATCCCCCCTCTAATCAATAGATGGTAGGCTACTATTCGTTTAAAAATTCTAACATAGAAACTAACAAAAATGATTCTTAAAGCTGAAACATGACAATTCAAAATTACTTTCCTGATATTTCATAGTAAACATTGATTTTATCAAGTTAAAGCCCGTTCGAAACTGGTAAAACTGATAATATTATGTCTTGATAGCTTGCTAAAACAAATTGTATCACTAAATGTCAAAATAACAAATTTCAAGTGTTAAATTTTAACCTTTAGAATCTTTGTTCAAATTTTCAAAATAAACGATTTGCTAAACGCTAAACAAATTAGTCATGTTTTGGATAACAATATATATTTAAAAATGCACGTTGACCACGTTGTCGTTGACTCCAACGACACACTAGCCTAACAAAAAAATCTGGCTACTCTAAACAGCAACAACACTACTTACTACTTAAAACTGTATAATTATATACCAATACTACAAAATACAAACTATGTACAAATGCAGCTAGAGAGACTGCATTCAGTGCACTTTTTTTAATATATTATAGAGAAAATAACACCAAGGCCATAATTATCTACTGAGTAAACGCCACTGAAACGGAACGGAAAACTACAACAATCCGACGGCATATTTATATATATTTTTTTTTTACGTAACAAAGCCAGCGCTCAAAAAATATAATTACATTCCCCAGCGGTTTTCTACATAAACATATTATTAAAAAAAATATATATATAGATAGCTTCGACAAAAGGCAAACTCCAAAATATCCGTAATTATCCTAACAACAGTGGCTAACTTGCTGCAAACTACTATAGACTGAATTATTACTAGTTATTATTTTTTTCCTAGTATTTGTTTACACGGTTTTTCAAATTTCATGGATTTCTATTAAATAATAAGGTGTGTCAGCTATAAACGTCGGGGAAAAAATCATTATCATATTAAATTATCATAAATAATGCCCATTTAATATTTAAGTGAAAAAAGTGTAAGTATTATTTTTTTTGTAATCAATTTTCGCTTCGAAGGAAATACATTGGACCGTAAAAGTCATGTCTTTCGTTCAACTGATTTTCTGTAACTTATCAATAATCTCTTACCAGCGGTTTCTCTTATCAGTTATCTAGTAATTATCGATTTTCCCTTATCAATCAATATTCCGCTCCCTATCTTTTCCCTTTATAAGTCGCCCGTTAAAACTACTATTTAAATATTTTAGAACATTCAATATACATAAAAATTACAATTTTTTTTTTGTTGCCGAAACGATGATTTTTGTAAATAAAATGAACGTAACATGAAATTCGGACAACTCTGTAAAGTATGTACAAAAATAAAAAGGCGACGGTGGAGTGGTGTTTTTTTATTAAATATTTTTCTTCTGCGACCACTCGACGCTTTTGTACACTAGCGCAAACATCAGCGGTAGAACTATTTACAATTTAGTAATATGAATAATGATTGCACACATTATTATGGTATAGGGGATGTTTATTCATTTGTTTTTATTTCTGTAATTATTATTAGTATTACACCTGGCTCACCTATGATAGTGGGTTTTTTACATGCCGCCAGGTAGGAGTCTTGGCGCACTACCGGTTTGAAGCGGTACGATTCGTCTTTAGCGACCGGCGGCTCGTCTAGAAAAAACACAACAATAACCCAAAAATTGTAGACAAACACAGTAAAAAAAAAACTCAAAACTCAAAAAACCTCAAACTGGCGAGTGATTTTTTTGAAAAAGCGTGAGGCATCCCCGCCGCCCCGCACAGCCATTAATAAAATGGTAAAATAATATTTTTTTTGTTTAAAGGTATAATTTTGATTTTGGATGCAACGAGAAACGTAATATATAATATTTAGGACATATTTGTGTACGCGTTGTGTCGTCAAAATGGCATGAAACAAAAGTCGCCAATACTTGAACCATTTTTTTTTATAATGGGGGTTTCTTTTTTTGAGCGGGGTATAGCTGTTTTATAATTCTTAACGAGTTGCTAAATTTACTGTCGGTTTCTTTTTTTATTCAAAAAATAGTACCCATCATAACTTTTTTTTTTTACTCGAGCAGTATAAAAAAAAGGTATAAAACGTACGTGACATTGCTCGATGGTTATACTAACGGAAAATAATAGGCGTTTCAGGCACGCGTTAATGTTTAGAAATTCAATTTTTCTTTATTTGGAGTCAGTCGAAATGTCAAGATCTTTAAATTTTATCCAAACCCTTTATAAGAATAATTCTAATACAAAAATTAACAGAGTTGACATAAATCAGGCTTTATTTTTCGACACGGCTTAGTTGTATATACATATATAAATCCAATAAAACCTCACTTGGCCAAACAAAATAACCCCCCCCCCCTTTCCCTTATCAAAATATAATTTTTTTTAAATATCCTGTAATAAAAAACTGTTGTGTAAAAAAACATATAATAGTAATATTAACTGCTGTACGGGACACACGCTGACCCTATTAAAGCAGCGTGTACAAGATAAACACGTGTTTGTATGATATTGTGTACGTGTAAATTATCCTCATCCGACGACAGTCAAAGCTCGCATCAGCCAAAAACAGCCAATACATGAAAAAAATAACAAGCGAGATGAACGTGCACGAAACGTCGCTTACCTTTGCTTTGGTCGAACTCTTTAGGAGGGTCGCAGTGGATTTTATTGCTGCCTATAGGCACTATGAGGTTGCCCGAGTGGTACGGCACGTCGGCCGAGGCGTCCACGTAAGACTTATCGGAACCTGCGAAAAAACGGTGAGCGGTAATCGTGATGGTAAGCAGTACAAGAGAGTAATAAAAAAGGCAGCGACGGCGTGACACTCACTGCAACTACTCAGCGAATCGTCTCTGCTGCTGCTGCCGTCCTGGTGGTATTGTTGGTGGTGCGGCGCTGTGGCGGTGGATTTCTTCTTTTCCGAGCACAGTTTCTGCTCGTACTCCATTTTTCTCACCGCAACGTTAGGAACATTGTGTTTGGACGACAGCCTGGCCAACTCGCTCCTGTAAAAGTCGGTCTTGTCGTCGATTTTGCCGCTCTCGAATTGTTTGGCCCTCATCGACACCACTTGCAGGTTGGCCTGTTTCAGGTGATCCGCGGCCGCCGCATCGCCGGCTGCGGCCGTGCAACAACCGGGCTGCTGTTTTTTAGCGGCGTCCTCGTTGATCTTGCTCAGCGTGTTGACGAACTGTTTGCTCTTGAGTTTAGAGGGCGCAACCGGCGGCACCGGCTGTTGGTGTGGCGCGGGCTTGGCCGCCGACTGCGGCGGCGATTGTTGTTGACCGGTCGACGACACCGGCGGCGGCCACAGCGGGGCCGACAGTTTTTGCGGCCTTGAGTAAAACTCTTTGGCCGATTGAACGGGCCGCCGGAGGAACTCTTCTTTCTGTTCGAGGCTCTTCTTAATGCGGGAAATTATGACGGAATCGTCGGGGGCGGCGGCCGTGGACGAGGCGTGGCCGCCGTACTGGTGATTGTCGGCGGCCAGCAACGCGTCGCGACACGCCACGCCGACGTCCATGCTGTGCCGGCTGTTGGGGTTGGCCTTGTTGCGGTAGCTGCCGCCGTGGGTGTCGGCCGCAGACGACCGGCGGCTGTTCGGCGTCCGGTGCGGCGAGACGAACCGGGCAGCGGCGGACGACGACTTGACCGCTACGCCGCGGTCCCAAGGGTTCTGGTAAATCGGACTGGAATCGCGACCGCGGTGAAATCGCAACTCGTTGCCCGATGTCATAGCCGCTTTCAGGCGGCCGGGCCTCTGATTTGTTTCGGGGTTGTGAGCGGTTTCGCTGAAATACTGCAAAAAAGCAACAACAAAACGGTTTTAAAGATTGTGTCACAATAGGGAGTTTACAAGTATGAAATTGATTAAATTCGGACAACGTTGAGCGTAAATCGAGTTTAAGATATACTCACCAACTGTAAAATGTCATTTTCCATGGGCACCACCAACAGGTAGAGAGAGCATCGTGTTTGTTGAATGAGCTGAACGACATGTGCGTAAGACTTGCCGGCCACGGTCTCGCCGTTGACGCTGATTATACGGTCACCGGTGTTTAGACCCGCTAAGCTCGCTGGACCGTTATCTTTGACTTGCTTCACGAAGATTGTGTCCATAGGTTCGTCTGGACGAACGCAAGCGCCTCGCCGCAAACCCAACCGTTCGTCTCCGGCCAGTACCTGATAAGAACACACACAAAATAGTTTATTATTAATTATTATTAAGTGACCTGACAATTCAATGAAAAGTCTGTGACTAAAACGTATAAAATCATTTTTTTATTTGTTCTCTTCGTAAGTCAATAAAAAAAAAATGAGGATAATATTGACGGTAAGTTGGCAATAAAATAAAATCCAAGGCCAAAAACACTCAGGGGGAGTTTATGTCCTATCACCGGAGTGATTGAAATGATAGTTTTTACATTTTTATTTCTAATATTTTGACATTTTTGTTTCAAAATTTTGTGACGGAATTATAATTAGATAAGTAAATACAATAATGTCGATCAGGTCAAAAGTTGCGAATCAAACAAAAATCTGAGAATTACCCGAAGAGTATGCGATGGACGTTTTAAACAATCGACCTATATCAAAAATAACAAAATAGATAATTATCTATGTGTAAATAGGTTTCGGTCCAGCAGTCGCGAAGATAACATATAATTAAAATACAAAACCCGTCATGAAAGATAATTTAAAAAAAACTTCTACGCCGTTAACTATTACAATAATTCTCATACACGATTTCCACAGTAAACCACATTTAAATGCGCGACACGCACACAAATCCTACTCCTTGTTTTTCGGTGAAAACTATAATGCTTCCGCCATTGTTAATCGAAAACGAGCGAGTAAATATATTTTTTTAAATATAATTTATATTTATTTTCGAACAGTACCAATATAAATTATAATGATGTACGTCCATTAACTACACACCGAACCGCAGTATAGTTTAATTAATCAGTAATCCGCCCGCTTTTCATACTCGGTGTGCATTATATTTGTCGAAGAATTATACTTTTGTACTAATAGATGATAAGCGCTAATAACGCGCTTAATGTATCCGGTAATTTATACCGACTACAACTAATTTGTTTAACGGTTGTTTTTCCATTTTAAATTGTCGACGGCTGTACAAATGCGCGATTTTGATATTTATTTGTTTATAATTTATTACTTGTATACAGACTTGAAACATTTCCTCGTTGAACAAATTATTTTTATCGTCGATTTTTTTAAAATTTTAATTATCAACCAACCACTGAAATGATTTATTACAATAGTACTAGTTTTTAATTATTACTTATCAAATTGAAAACGGTTATAAGTTTAAGGTCGAAGGGTTAGTGAAAAAATTCAAACTACAGATTCTGTCCTTATTTCTCAGGTATTTAGCCAATTACATTATTTAGAAATTATCATTTAAGTTTTCCCTATTCGTAATATTACAAAAAGAATGTCTAAGCTTATATTTGTAGGTCAGTGAATTAAATATTAGTACTTCTTACTTACAACACTCAACGTCAATATTTAGTAACGGGATTAGTTGTTTCCAGTTTTCATTCTGGGTTGCGGACCTACCTAATAATTATAACATTAAACCAATAATTAGTTTATTTGCCGACTTTTATTTATAACACGAGCTCAAAAAAAAAAAATACTCAGGCAAGCACCCCGCCACAGGACAACATGAACTTTTTTAGCGGTTTCTCGATGTAATATATTTTTTTCTAACAAACTATAATTCGATTTTAGAAAACTATATATTAATTAATTTCATCTCAAACAAACTCTCGACCGACTTTCGCACGTTTAAGTGCGTACCTAACTCTGGAAATATTATGCACGTACTTAGTTACAATGTTCTTGATTTTTATTTCAATTTTGTACACACCGATATAATTGTCCGCCGGTTAACCACAAGTAGTGAGCAATTACAGTGTTATTATACATATCCACATGGCGGTTCGCGATTTTGCGGTCAACAAAACTTGGGCACAGTTTGAGTAGGTAATACAACAACGGTCGTGATCTACAGTCGAGCAAAATATCAAACAATAGCACAATTCAACAAAAAGGAAATATGTATTATACTAACGTCATAACGTGTTTTCCTTAAATTAAATTGTCCCCTCCGAATTATAAAATATCTTTAGTTTGTGTACACTAGATGTAAACTGAAGCCTATTGAAATGATGAAAATCAAGAGTACAAGTGACAATTAATCGGGGGGAGAAAATAACCCCTTATCCTACTCCCTCAAAACTAACTAGTCTCCCCTGGTGATAACGAAAATAATAGTAATGATAACTGCGGTGGCACCTCACTGTGAAAGTTGCCGGCCGACCAGACCGTGTATGGACTTTGGCCACCCGAGTGTGCTGTTTTTAAAGGACGGGTAAGAAGAAACCGCGAACCGAGTCAAAAATACATTTCGGTAGGTAACCAAAAATAATAATTACCGACCAGGTGACACATATCAAATCTCACGAAAATACATATTATTATAACGGGCTAACGGATTAATGAGACAAGACCGGGTGCGCCGGTATAAATATATACGTACGTTCTCGACATTGGACTTTGCCAAAAAGGTCCTTACGGTCGAGATAAACGCGTGTGCGTTAAATTATGTTATTATTATGATCGACAAGTGCTAAACGCATCGTGTGTAAAAAAAAAAACCAAAGCGGAACGTGTGTAATTTTGGCAGAAAGATTATATGAATTCGTCGACCGATAATAATATAATTATCGAAGAAAAAAATGACAAGTGCACGAGACCGGTAACCATTTTTGAAAATAATATGATAATTTCTAGACTTAAAAAAAATAAAAAAGATAGAAAAGAGAATATTATCACTGCCGCCGTTCTTATACAAACACACGGCTATTTTTAATGGTTTTATTTAACCACTGGCATCATCTATTTACATTTATTGCAGACTATGCGGGTTTATCGTTTAGAAACTTGGCAAGTATAAATAATTATACAACATTTATATATATATATATATATATATATATATTATTTAGTATACGGGAGCTACTTTATATTTAAACGCTTTTTCCTATATTTTACATATTATTGTGTTGCCCAAGTAAAATTAACGACTTTTCTATTAATCTAATCAACTGTTGTTGACCTACTACCAAACCGTTAAATAGAGTCTAGGCATAGTGAGAAATAATTTTTAATAAAACAAATACATTTATTATATATATATACAATATTTAAAATTTTTTTTTTCCGGATAATTTTGTATATTGCAAAAGTACGATATTCCATCAATTACTTTTCATAGGTACATTTTATTTTCCACCTAAACTGAGAATTGACTTTTGACTACTAGACAAAAAAGTCAATGAGATGATAAGGGTTGTATTTAAAAAATAACACAGTTTTCAATTTTGAACCGTAAAATATCAGGCTAGTTCTCGAACGCGATAACGTTTGTTAAAATTATTATTAGTGCATTACCCCCGAGCTTAGTACTGCTTGTCTAGCGCGCACGTTCAGTGTCAGTAGGACAATGATACGAAAAAGAAAAAAAACAACGTGACATTTGAACAGACAACGAAATTATATAAATTATGTTTTACGACAAAATATTATTTCGGCTCTTTGAGTAAAAATCAAATTAAATATTTAAATTCCTATGGTATTATGATCCATTTTAAACACAATTTGTTTCGTAGTAATTACCTAAATAAGTTGTATTGAAAATTAATTTAGGTATATTTTAATCAAGTACCTAACTCTACGATTAGGTATTTTTTATGAATATTAAAATAATAATTGATTTTTATAAGTTTAAAAATGTTAAACACTATTAGATTGCAGATTAATTGAACGGCCAGTTAGGGTGAAACCACACAAAACATAATTTGCATAAAGAACTTGTCTGGTAAATAGTAAATACCAGCTCATTTTTTTTTTACAATTTTTATGTATATATCTTAAAAATCCAAAACTAAAAAATAAAATCTCAAATTATTTGATATTTATTAAATGTTATCAATATTAAGTATATCTCAGTATTAATTTAAAAACGTTTTTTCTATCCAGGTATCAATTTTATAAATATTGTATTTAATTTAATATTGTATTTTCTCATTATTTTACATACTAGTTTTAATTTTTTTAGGAAAGAATAATAAAGTAAAATTGACAAATAATTATGATTTGTGGACAGGCAAAAAACGAAAGAAAAATGATTATATTTCATTTTATGGTAGTTGGCGAAAATCAAGCTCAAGAAGCATTTCGATGGTAATTACCAATTTAATTATCATATATAATAGATGGACGACGGAGAAATACAGCAATCATCATCCAGATTATTTTGTTCTCGAACAACAATTACTTTATTGGACACATAGTATATCTTGCTAATACTATAACCGGTCATAAACTATGTAGCTGAGGGAGGAGATGGTGTGTCCTGAATAGCGTTACTGCGGTAGTGATAATCCATGTTTACGACAATATAACAATCAGTTGGGCGATAAGGTGTTAATGTTATATACTACACTGTAGTATACCTAACAGCGAAGGTAGTAAATTAAATTTGTAAGTACTCACCAGATACGATTCGGGCGGATAGACGATGAAGTGCCGCAACGTAAAGCCAAACCCATTTTCTGACCTGCGTATGAACAGCGACCTGGGACCACTGCTTGCTCTTGATTCTCGGTTTTGGCCCTGTTGTAAACAAACAAAAAACACCTTAATAAGACAGGTAACACAGTTCGTTCGATATAATATTTCTCATAGGCTCAAAAGTCCGGATTTACAAGCACTAAAAATCTCTACAGTAAATATGGCTTTATGCAAAAAAAAAAACCCTTAAAATGTGCACTTAATATGCACTTTATTACCAAAATTTTTGAAATAGATGAATTTATATGCAACTTTTGTTTTCATCCATATATTATTTCATACTTAAAACAAATAATATACCATTATAGTTTCTTTGGTTAAAATAAACTTAATTATTTGGTCATGAACATTTATCAATAATATAATGTATAATATTTGTATAGATGTCTTCTTCTGAATAATTTAAAGTTCCATAAATTAAAATGGAACCTATTACATAATAAACAATTAAAGGTTTATTTTTAGCAAATATAAATAAATATACAAAATAATAAAAATAAAAACAAATATTTTTTATGCACAATTCAAAAAAGGACGATGCAAAAACTGAAAAATATGAATTCCCTTATGAATTTTTTTGCGGTACATTCTTGTGCATTATCTGTGAAAAAATCGTCCACATTTCTTACTCCTATTTATAGCACTACTTATACTAACAACAAATATATTAAATCATAAAATTCAGGACTTCATCCATCGTTATAGGTACATAATGTTTATTATAATAATAAAACTAGAGTAGTCTATCGCAACAGGTCCTTGAAATGTCATCTAGGTATATATTATAAAATATATATATATATACAATTTGGTGTCAAGACGTTCTAACGGGGTCACTTCGTGAGATAGCTTTTAGCTAAAGGACGTTAGATAAGAACATAGACGAAATAACGCAAAATTTACGAGCTTTTTCATTTTAGCACAAATCGTTAGTGAACATTATTGTGAAATTTTATATAATGATAGACAAAGTATATCGCATTAGGCTACGGACATTAAGACATCCACATTTGAACGAAATAGAGGCGATATGAACAAAAAATGCATAGTGAACTGTAAACTTAAAATTGTATTAAATGACATCTTTTTTTTTTAAACTGCGAATTTCTACAAAACCTGAAAAATGAATCGGACGGACCAATATGCGCGTAGTGTTAACTTTCAGTTCAGTGCGACCTAATAAACAAAAATACACTACTTCTTTTTCGTACACGTGTGATTGTTTATTAATGGTAGTCTTTTGATAGTTACCGCGGTTGCTCTCATGACCCAGCGTGTCGACTAGATAAAAAAACATGTTAACTCGGTTAAAACACCACATAAACAAACGGTCGGTATTCTCATGTAACAGCAGCTAGTACAATAAATTATGAAAAAAACCAGGATCATCCGTATAGGCTCTCTCTGTAGGGAGCAATTACGCTACTATACGCGGTATAGTTTCCCTTTCATTAAACGGAATTAAATTTATTTATTATTATTGTTTATTGTTTCTATCAGACAATAACGATATGTTGTGACGTTATATAGGATTTTTTTTTTAAATCATTACAGTGTACATTTTTAGTGAAACGAGATAATGGAAAAAATACAATTTCAAAAAAATCTTTGGAAACGACTTTTTTACAAGCTTCGGCGTCGGCCTTGCGGTTTATTGCCAATCAAATTAATGATGAGATTTAAAACGGGACTAGTGACATTTTTTTCAAATTACCGTTTTTGATCATACGGTATTTGCCAATGACATATTTTTCGTAAGTTCAAAATTGATCAAACAATAAAATATATTACTGTAAATTTTACTTATATTATTTTATTAAAAATGATGTTATGGCGATCGTCTAATTGTTTTGGTTTTAAGTCAAATTGGGAACATCTGTGGGTCACCGCACTATGCTTACCCCCTCCCCCCCTCCGTTATACATAGTAAGCCCACTAGCTTGTGGATTTATCACAAGTCGACTTGAACCGGCGTCAACCACAACCATAAGAGACTTTAGGTAGTAACTATACTCGTGTGGTCATATTGCAGAGGTATTTTAGACAATCAAAAAAAAAAAAAAATAAACAAATTATCGTCTGTGTCCAGTGTGTGATCCGGTTACGTTTTCGAAACGGAAAAATCGATACGCCGGCACAGGACCAAGGACAACAAAATATAATAATATAAGTCGTGCAACGTTTATTGTTGGTCGTTATTGTCATTACACGGTGTACCGGCATAGGCAATAATAACAAATAATAATACACACTTACATTCTTGTACGAACATATATATATATTATTATAATAGAGAGATCAAAAACCGAGTATATCTACAAGCTGTTTTGTCGCATGGTATTGTTGCCAGGTGCCGGATTGGCATGGGCGAGCGCCACGCTAAAGAGTAAGGTCTATTTTTTTAGTCGCCGCCAGTGTTTTTTTTTTCGTTTTTATTATTATCCCGGTGGCGACACGGTATAGACACTTGCGATTTGCACACGTCCTACCTATATACAACCACCCTGTAGCACTAACTCCGGTCTGGAGGCCCACAGCCAAATTCCGAATTAGTTTTATTATTATATTTTATTTATTTTTAAGTACGAAATCTATACATCGGTCAACGAAAACAGCGTGTGCCGCAACCGTGTTTTCTAATATATATATATTTTTTATTTTCAAAATATATTATTTGTCCGGCCGCGACGCTTGTAAAAAAAAACCAATAATAATAATTGCACAGTTACGCAATGCAAGCCGCTGTTCAAATGCAATAGCTATTGCATATAATATAAATATAACACACGCATGTCGAACCTATATAAACGCACAAGTCTTTGTACACGGTCTACATTACTGTATTTTACTGGACCAATGAACTCGGCGAGGTGCGTGTGCGCCGTACGCACGCGATACACAAATCGACCGACGGCATCCGGTAAACAAAACCAAAAAAGGAGGAAATGCATTTTATTAAAAAAAAAATACATACATCCCATAGTTTGCACAAACAAACAGTACTTTCTGGGCTGCTCCCATACGAAGCTAACGTGCGGGACTTGGAGAAAACTCAAAAGTAATAAGACACAAATAAAGTTGAAAAAAAATACAATTCGACGACCGCTACATAATTAATATTAATTTACTTATGTGAACCATACATAGGTTAGACGCGTATCGAAACAGATCTCCACGAGAGTGTCTATATTATAATATTTATACTTAACGGGCCAGCGGCCGGCAAGACTGATGAGTCAGACGAAAGTGAACACAAAGACGGTGTTGTGCATTTCTGAATCACGATCTACACACCCATCACGTCTTCAATATACTTGCACCTTGAAGCTATATAGTACTTACTAAAGTAAAATAATAATAATAATACACACGTCAGCGAGAAGAGGAACACACGTCGGTTTTGGTGTACACATATATAGCACAAGCAAGTCGAAATAGAAGTTTTTAATTCAGCGATAACCGGAAGACGGTGAATTCAATTAATGATAAAGTTATAGGAGAAAAATCTACCTACTCGGCAAAATAATCCTTGAATAGATGTTTTTATAAATAATAATACAATATATAAAGCGCATCTTCTCACACATGCCCGGCGGTTTTGGTCCACTCTAACCGTAAATTATGTTAATGAATGGAATCGACATTGATATCGAATATTATCGTTAGAAAATGTGATAATTATTTAACAATTAGGTGACAAAAAAAAAATGAAATTAATTAATTTTTAATAATGTTATTTTGGCTATATTCGGTAGACAATGGTATATACCTATGCGATGCGATGAGTGCCAATGTAGCGTTGTGGTGACTTAAACGCTCGATAAACACACAAGTATCGTGGCGTACAACAAACGCTAAGCTCTAAAAGATATGATAATTTATTTTGGAAAAAAGAATCGTCAAATGTCGGTATATGTAAAAAATAAAACCACGACCGACTGTGACACGTGTATAATGTAAATTATCTAAGATTATTTGAACCTATGTAACTATCGGTTTGTTATACTGTTTTTTTCCTTGTAGGATTGTATATTAATGGTTTTGGTTCCAACTTGCCCCTGCCTGTTAACAATAATTTGATGGCGGCTTCTCCCCGTGATGAACTTTATATGTACTTAACCACTATTGACAACAATACACTACGACACTCGACTCTATAGCACGTAAGATTTAGTCGAATAAAATGAATTACTTGTCATCCTGGCTAACAAGTATAATGTTATACACTATGCGGTGTTATTTGTGTGTTACATAGTTTTTGATATAGGCGAAAGAAAGCCCGAGACTATATTATAATAATTGTTGTAACGCGTGAAGGAGACAGACGAGTAACAGACGTTTTGGAATACATACATAAATCGTGTACGGCTGAAAGGGCTCGTGGATACTTATTTATTTATTTTAGTTTTTTAGGTTTTTTTTGGCACCCGTCGTCGAGCTGTGTGTAATAAATTGGACGGCAACGGCAGACGTTGATTTCATAGACAGAACGGAAAAAAAGAGAAGCAAAAAAAAACGTTTAAAACTCACTTCACGCTCAAACGCAACACACGAATGACCGGAGAATCGTGAAATTACATGAGTTAAAAAATAGAATTAAAAAAAAAAAAACTATGATCTACCTATTATACACCCAACGACGACTCCGTACCGTTATATTGTTTTTGCGACCGACAACAATATAAACGCGGCGGGCGAAATTTAATTAACAAAATTTCTCTATTCACAACATTCAACACAACACTCTATTACACATTGTATAATGCGCGCCAACGGTTTTGTTTATAATCGATTTCTACATAGGCAGGCGGTAAGTTATGTCATTAGTGTTATGATTATGTGCTCGAGACCGGCGGGCACAACACGGGTCGGTGTAAGTATTTTGGGCATAGAAAAGGGGGAGGCATCATCGGGTGCCCGAGGCTTCTGAAAAATTGACACGGTTTGGAGAAAAAAAATAATAACAACAAATTTAAATCAAACACATGTTTACAGAAACAAAAAGGAGGTTTAATCATAATAAGCGAGCGCGTGGCAGCCCG